ATGGACTGTTACACTGTCAGCTCCTGGCATCTGTCGTAGAACGGTCGGAAGCAGCCTTTTAATGTCCTGCCGATGATGACAGCTGGTGCAATGGCTGAGGAGGTCCGGCTGTTATTTTGCTTCGAGTGGTTTCGCAAACCCCTCGTGGACCGAAGGGCTATGGGGCCCGATGGACCTGAACCAGCTGTAGTATCCATCGTGGATGATGAATGGGCCGGAGTCTCAGACAGCCTCACAGTCTGATGAGGGTGAAGTAGAAGCCACCGGAGAGGGAGAAGGCGCCAAAACCTCTGGATCCAGGGCGGCAAAGCTGTTTCTGGTCTATGTCCGGGCTTAACATCTCCAAGGATGCCCCCGTTGCCAGAGGACGCTGTTTTCGACTTCCATGGCGAGTGACATATCTCCATGGCTGGTTGGTAGGATTGAGAACAGGAACATCCCCCAAGTCATCCAAGAGCATCCTACTAGCTCCTTTTTCCAGGGAAGGGGAAGACCCCTTCGGGGAGGGATCCCTGCAGAGAGCCGACACGGTGGCGACACTTCCACCAGGCCAGAGTGGCGTCTGGCTACTGGGATAGAAGAGAAAGAAAAAGTAGGCGGGCGTGGGTTCCCCAGTAGCTTGTGTAGGCTTGCTACTTGTTTGCTAAGAGTAGCCACTTCACCCCTGTAGTCCTCTGCAAGCAAACAGTTGCTACATTAAAAGTCTGGGCGGTCCACATTGTCCCGGAATAAAGCAAAATAAACACAGCTCCTGCAGCGTTGAAAATGTTTGTTAGCGTCCTCCATTTGAGGCTCCAGGCTATTTAGGCTAGCTAAGCCAGCCAGGCCTCCGTGTCTCTCCTCTTGACATGGAACTCCCAACTTGTCCGAGAGAGAACCACACGGTTATCATCAGCATCAGGCCAAGGTAAGCCTACACCAATCACCCAATTAATTAGGATTTTTGTAAAATTCACAATGTGAAAATGAATGGCGGTGTAGAGTATTATAACTCAGGCTAGTAAAACACGTTTCGTCAATAACAAGCTCGGTGGCAAACTGGGCGTGGCACTGGGCATGGCATGAGGTGGAGAGAGAGAGACGCAGAAAAAGAGAGACTGTACAGAGAGAGAGAGAAATAAAGAGCGATAGTGGCTCGGGCTGTGTGGCTGTAGATGGAGTGAGACAGAGAATTAGGTAGAGAGAGGAGGGGAGTGTCATAGATCATAGCGGTGTGTCCATAAGTTAATTTGCCTCAGTAGGCCTGCACGGCTGGGGCGGGTGGTTCTGGGAGCCGGTTAGGGTGTTACTACTTCCTGGCTTTGTGCTTGAACTAACATGGCCATGGCCAGGCAGTACTGTACCAGTCCATGTACTGCTGGTCAATGAGTAACTAAAACAACAAGTTGTGTGTGTAATATGTAACAATGTTCAACAGTTTATATTAGTTGATATGAGTCATTTCTATATACAGTGTGTGTATGTAGTGAGTAGGCACTGAGTAGGGCTGTCGGAGAGGTTAGTAGGCCAGTTGGTATTCTGGCTTCTTATTACAACACTTCATTTGGCAAATGCTGTCCCTCCCTTTTCTTTCACCCTCCCTCACTTCTCCCCCATGTTTAGGTACTCTTCGTACCCCCTTCCCCGTGCTGCCTTCCTTCAAAGTACACACGCTCCTCAAATTAAAGACAGACATAAACAAATAAAATCAAAATAGTGGTAGTGTTGAGTGAGCAGCAGGAGTTTGAAGGAGAAAAGACTGTCAACAATTTCAGATCCAAACTTTGTTTTTTCCGCTCTCACTATATCATACACACAGATTTACACATGCATAATTATAGGCAGACATATGTTCTAGAGCAATCAGATGCTTACGCACACGCACACAATAGGTATCTGATCTGTGTGGTGTGTAAGAGTAAGGGTTTAATAGAGCAGGAGGTGCTGTGTGTTAGGCTCTCTGCCAACTGGGAGAATCCCCTCTCCGAGAGCATTCACAGAAGGCCTGATTCAAACTCTACAGTTCTTTCTTCAGTGTGTGTGTGTGTGTGTTTTGTGCTGATAGAGCTGTAAAGTGTGTATGTGTATTGCACTGTGATTGAGTACAGGTCATTTTCAAGTAAAGGACCAATGAGCACCAACGTGAAGTTCATAGGAGCATGTCAAATTGGGTGTCAAATGAAAGCTAAGAGTCTGTATTTTTTAGGAAGTAAGGCATATATACATTTGTCATCCATTTTCCATTCAAAAAATTAGGAATAAGCAAAGGATTTGATTTCTGGTCAAACTTTTTCTGGGAAAAGGGGTCTTAGAAAACATCTACCAGAAAGTCTTTAAAAAAAATAATAATGTTGAAGTAAAGACCCCTGCCAACTAATATCAACATTTATATTTAGTTTTGGATAACATTTTCTGACTTCTGTAAGTAAGAAACATTGCATTATGCCTTGAAATTCCGTTACCAAAAACACACATCTTTAAGATATTTTCTAATTTCTCTCCCTCATGATGAGGGAGGATAATGAAAGTTCACAGAAGTAACAAGTAAAGGCATACCTATCATTTAGTTATATCAATTTTGTTTATGAATTACTAAATTATTAAAACTCAAAATTCTGTTACCAGATCGGTAGCGGAATTTCTGAAAAATTGGTAACGGAATTTCTGCAATTGAATTGGCTACAATGGGAAATAATAGTAGTCACAAATCACAGTTGGGTAGAGAAGTTTAGACAGTACTGTACAGTAGAGTTCAGTAAAGAAAAGTAGAGTACGGTACAGTAAAGTACAGTACTGTACACAGTAGAGCACACTAAAGTTGATTACACTATAATGTACTATATTGTACTGTACTGAACTATACTCTACTGCACTGTACTGAACTATACTGTACTGTACTGAACTATACTCTACTGTTCTGTGCTGTGCTGTACTGAGCTCTACTGTGCTGTACTTTGATGTCCAAACTTATGAAACATAAACTTCTATGATTGGTTCAGATTTTGTCCGGACCAACCAAATTTAGTCTTGTTTGGGGGCAGAGCTCATTAAAATAATAGCCAGTGTGTAGAATAATACCCAAATATGCAAAGGAGGATATAGCTTATTTATCCCTTTATGTACCTATTTAGGATACATCACCATGAAGAGAATGACATTCATATCCATAATTATGCATTTCTGTGTAGTACAGCTCAGGGACCCATGATGAAATTCCATTACCGCAATTCCATTACCGGGTGTAAATCCACTTCACTTACTGTAGTTCAATAACCAAAATAGATTTGTGTCATGTCATAGCAAACATCGTTGAATCTTAATTCGGAGCAAATTGAGTTTTTGGAAAACGTGGATATTGTAAAAATGTCAGTGTAAATTGTTAAAAGTAGTCATTGTGCATAGAGTTGTATGGTTTGTTAAACTTTGAAATCAGGGTTTTTTGTTTGGCATACATTTTAAGTGAAAAAATCTGAGTCTCAGCACAATTCCGTTACTGTGGAATTCCCCTACCGTGTCGTGTGTGTGTAGCGGGGGTATAGCATTCTCATATAGAGCCGTGAAGTATGTGTGTGCATAGTGAGTGTGCTCTGACAAGACTGTGTGTGTGTAGTGACTGAGTGTGTATTACAGTGATTGTTGTAAAGTGTGGTTGAGCACGGAGCTGTGTGTGCAGCTTCTCTCTGCTTATCCAATCTCCTCCATCATCAGATCCTTGCTTCTCTCTCTCTCGCTCTCACTCTCTCTCTCTCGCCCAAAAAGAATAAATGTATAAACTTGCATACAGATATGTTCTGTTTGCTCAGACACACATGCATTCAGTTAGTGTGAAATAATACGTTTTTTTCTTTAACAACATGTTTTTGACCACTGTACATAAATATACACTCAGTTTATTAGGTGCACCCATCTAGTACCGGGTCTGACCCCCCTTTGCCTCCAGAACTGCCTGAATTCTTCAGGTCATGAAAACGTGGCTCAATTGGTATCAAGAGACCTAACGTGTGCCAGGAAAACATTCCCCACACCATTACACCATCGCCACCTGTCTGTACGGTTGACACCAGGCAGGATGGGGCCATGGACTCATGCTGCTTACGCCAAATCCTGACTCTGCCATCAGCATGACGCCACAGAAACTGGGATTCGTCGAACCAGGCAACGTTTTTCCACTCCTCAATTGTCCAATGTTGGCGATCGTGTGCCCACTCAAGCCGCTTCCTCTTGTTTTTAGCTGGAACCCGGTGTGGTCATCTGCTGCAATAGCCCATCTGTGACAAGGACCATGTGACTCACTGTCTGTAGGAGCAAACCATTTTCATGAACTGGGTGGTGTACCTAATAAACTGGTCACTGAGTGTATGTCATCAATGGATTTCCTCCAAACAGTATGAGAGAGCAAGTGGCAAGGGTTAAAGACAGAGACAGATTCCAATAAAGAGAGGGATAGAGAGTGATCGTGAGATGAGGAGAGTGATGATTGACTTTGTCAAAGCATGGCTGTGCTCCACATATCATTATGAAAGCTAAAACCTCAGACTGAAGTGTGTGTGTGTCTCTGTGTGTCTGTGTGTGTGTGTGTCTCTGTGTGTCTGTGTGTGTGTGTCTGTGTGTGTGCGCGGTAGCGTGTCTGTGTTTGTGCATGTGCATTTTTTTGGCTTACTGTAATACTATCTATTGCCAGAGGCTGGGATCATGAATCAGCGCATTATAGGTGCACACTGCTTTCACACACTCCTACTGCCCTTCCTTAATCGCCATAATCTCTCCCTCTCTCTGTGCGTGCGTGCGTGCGTGTCTGTGTGCATTTGTCTGTTGGAATTTTAACACGTGTGGTTTCTCTAACCCAGTCCCATTACAGACTCAGTCCCAGCGTGTCCAATGAGGGAATGAGATGACCTGAAGGCATGGTTAGAACAGATACCGAGTCCCGAGTGATCTGACACTGTCCAGCACACACTGTGTGTGTGTCTGTACATGGAGATATAAGCGCAACGAATAACATGTGAATATGTAAATCCAGCATGGCTGTCCCTCCGAGTGTGATGAAGAGATGGAAGGAGGGGGGGCGGGGGAAGAGTGAGTCCTCCAGTAGAAAATGTCTGTCAAACACTGACAGGAAAGTAACCTGGGCTGGGAGAGAGCATGAGTCCATGACTGCAAAGTGATTCCATACGAAACCAGGACAAAAAAAGACAATGATATTGGGATTTTTATTAAATGTAATCCATAGAATGTACCTTTGGAAGAAGGATTGTTGACATATATTTGACATTTGTATCTAAAAGCATAATTGAGAAATCATTTTGGCCTTACCAAGACCTCCTTTAAGACTCCATAATGTTTCATCTGTAGGTGTTACAAAGCAACAATTTGTGTCATATGAAGCTTTACCATTTGCTCTGTAATATGAGTAGTCTTTTTATTTCCATAACAATAATCATAAATATGGAAAAATATAAACATGAATATGGAAAAACACAATGCTTGATTTGGCAACATTTTCTATATATTGTTGAACATAATATAGTCTACGGACATACAGTTGAAGTCGGAAGTTTACATACACCTTAGCCAAATACATTTAAACTCAGTTTTTCACAATTCCTGACATTTAATCGTAGTAAAATTCCCTGTCTTAGGTCAGTTAGGATCACCACTTTATTTGAAGAATGTGAAATGTCAGAATAATAGGAGAGAGAATGATTTATTTCAGCTTTTATTTATTTCATCACATTCCCAGTGGGTCAGAAGTTTACATACACTCAATTAGTATTTGGTAGCATTGCCTTTAAATTGTTTAACTTGGGTCAAACGTTTCGGGTTGCTTCCCACAATAAGTTGGGCCCATTCCTCCTGACTGGTGTTACTGAGTCAGGTTTGTAGGCCTCCTTACTCGCACACGCTTTTTCAGTTCTGCCCACAAATGTTCTATAGGATCGAGGTCAGGGCTACGGATATCTGGATATTCTTAATACGTGTTTTTTTTAATTTTTTATGTACGGTTTTAACCTATGCACTGCGGTGCGAGGGATAGAGGCTGACGCTCTTGCTGCAGAGAGGCCAGTGTGAGATGGGACCGAGCAGATGGAGGGAGAGAGAGGGAAGCAGTAACGTTAGTCAAGGCAACTCGGCTACAGCCAAGACTAGCTAACTTGTAGCAGCCACAATGTTATTTATCATCCCATATAACAGTGCCTGTCTTGACTGGAGTAGCCAAGCCTAGAGAAGCTAGCTCTAGGTAAGCTAATTGAGGCTACATGATGTGCTTTCTCCCCAACCCCATTCAGATAAAACAACAGACTACCTGTTGGTTGCTCATTGTAGCCTACTCCTAATTTCGTGAACTTTTAAACAGCAAAAATATTTTCTAAGTGGCAAATATTTTTGAAAAATTCCAATCTGGTTTTTGGGCCCACCACAGCACAGAGACAGCCTTAGTTAAAGTGGTAAATTATCTTATAGCCAACACAGATGCCAAACACCTCTCTGTCCTTGTACTCTTGGATTTAAGTGCTGCATTCGACACCGTTGACCATGATGTCCTTCTGGACAGACTGGAGAGGTGGGTTGGCCTCTTCTAAATTGGTTTAGGACCTATTTAACCGGTCGAGAGTTTTTTGTCGCCCTTGGTGAACATAACTCAGAGAAAATGCATATCACGTGGCGTTCCACAAGGTTTGATTTTGGGTCCGGTACTGTTCAATTTATATATGTTACCCCTTGGCTACGCAGACGATACACAACTTTACGTTTCTGTGTCACCAGAGGATTTTAGCTCCACGGATAAATTATTAAACTGTATAAGTGATTTAAATACTTGGATGACTCACAACTTCCTCCAGCTAAATCAAGACAAGACTGAGGTACTTATTGTTGGAGCCAAAGCACAGAGAGTGAATCTGGCCACACATTTTAATTCACAGGCCATAAAGGTAAAAATCCTAGGTGTTATTTTAGATTCTGAACTCAATTTTGAATCACACATTAGGAATGTGCGCAAAATAGCTTTTTACCACCTGAGGAACATTGCCAAGGTGCAGCCGTTTCTCTCTCAGGCTGATACAGACAGACTCATTCATGCTTTTATTACAAGCAGACTTGACTACTGTAATGCTCTCCTGTCTGGTCTACCCAAGAAAGCCATTGGTCAACTGCAAAACATACAGAATGCTGCAGCACGGGTACTGACCAAGACCAGACGGAGAGCACACATTACACCGGTTTTAAGGTCTCTGCACTGGCTGCCTGTGAGTTTTAGACTACATTTTACGATTCTTCTATTGGTTTTTAAATCAATCCATGATTGTGCACCCTAATACATGTCAGATATGCTTTTAAGTTATGTACCCAGTAGGTCCCTCAGGTCCTTTGGCACTGGCCTTTTAACTATCCCAAAGCCTAGGACCAAGAGGCATGGAGAGGCAGCCTTTAGTTACTATGCCCCTAGCCTCTGGAATAGCCTGCCAGAGAACCTAACCTGAGGGTGGCCGAAACTGTGGACATTTTTAAGAGAGATCTTAAAACATACCCTTTTTAGCTTTCCTTTTCCTTAGGATGCTTTTTAGTTGTTCAGTTTCTATTGTTATTATTTCGTTTTGTTTCCTCTTATGTTTGTTGTGTAGTAAATATTTCAGTTTTTATTTTCATTGTTTTTATTAGTTTTTTCCTGGGATGCACATTGTGTTGCATTCCGTGTCTGAAATGTGTTGTTTAAATAAAGCTTGATTTGATTTGATTTGATGACCTCCTGTTTGAAGTGTTAAACCTCCTATCAATGGGGCTAACATGGATAAATACAGGCTTACTCAGTTAGAAAGAGAGAGACCGTATTCATTGTCTGTATTCATGAAGTGTCTCAAAGTAGAACTGCTGACATTTAGCCTTTTAGAACATTATCAATAAGATTATATGGACAGGGGCGAACTGATCCTACAGTACCAGTCAAAAGTTTGGACACACCTACTCATTCCAGGGTTTTTCTTTCTTTCTTTTTACTATTTTCTACACTGTAGAATAATAGTGAAGACATCAAAACTATGAAATAACATATATGGAATCATGTAGTAACCAAAAAGTGTTAAACAAATGAAATATATTTCATATTTGAGATTCTTCAAAGTAGCCATCCTTTGCCTTGATGACAGCTTTGCACACTTGGCAGCCAGGCCCATCCACTGGGGAGCCAGGCCCTGCCAATCAGAATATGTTTTTTCCCCGCAAAAGGGCTTTATTACAGACATAAATACCCCCCCCCCCCCCCCCCCCCCCCCCCCCCATAACGCATACGTTTTATCAACAACAGATTATGGTCAATAATATCAGAGGCTGCATTGAAATCTAACAGTACAGCTCCCACTAATCATATTATCAATTTCTTAGTCATTTGTGTTAGTGCAGTACATGTTGAGTGCCCTTCTCTATAAGCATACTGAAAGTCTGTTGTTAATTTGTTTACAGAGAAATAGGATTGTATTTAGTCAAACACAATTACTTTTACAACAGTTTGCTAAGAGCTGGCAGCAAGCTGATAGGGCTGTTGTTAGAACCAGTAATGGCCGCTTAACCGCTCTTGAGTAGCGGAATGACTGGCTTCCCTCTACGCCTGAGGACAGACACTTTCCTCTAGACTCAGATTAAAGATATGACAGATAGTAGTGTCTATAGAGTCCGTTATCATCCTCAGTAGCTTTCCATCTAAGTTGTCAATGTCAGGAGGTTTGTCATTATTAATCGATGACAATCATTTTTCCACCTCTCCCACACTAACTTTTCAGAATTCAAACTTACAATGCTTTTCTTTCGTTATTTGTTTTTTTATGCATGAATACGATGGCTCACAGTTTGTTGTTGGCATTTCCTGCCTACGTTTTCTTCACTTTGCCAAAGAAGTAATCATTAAAATAATTGGAAACATCAAATGGTTTTGTGATGAATAAGCCATCTGATTCGATGAAAGATTTGAATTTGTCTTGCTGCACATACTTTCATTTAAAGTACTCCAAAGTTTTTTCCCCCATCATTCTTTATATCATTGATCTTGGCTTCATAATACAGTTTCTTCTTCTTTTTGTTGAATTTAGTCACAAACCTGTAAGGCAGGGTCTAAATTTGCAGTAAATCAGCCAGTAAGATGTGCAGCCAGACTTATTAGCCACTCCTTTTTCCCAATCTCTTTCAACCATACAGTTTTTCAATTCCTCATCAATCCATGGAGCCTTTAACAGTTCTAACAGTCCGTTTCTTAACAGGTGCATGTTTATCAATAATTGGAAGAAGCAAGTTCATAAATTCATGAAGTGCAGCAAAATATTTTGTATGATCTCTTATACACTATTTTAGGCCCAGCTTTTGGAACTTTGGTTCTTGTATATAGCCACTCTTTTGTGATCACTGCATCCAATAGTTACGGATACTGCTTTAGAACAACGTTTTGACATTTACATTTACGTCATTTAGCAGACGCTCTTATCCAGAGCGACTTACAAATTGGTGCATTCACCTTATAGCCAGTGGGATAACCACTTTACAATATGTTTATTTATTTTTTTATTTCCTAGGGGTGGGGTAAGGGGGGGTAGAAGGATTACTTTATCCTATCCCAGGTATTCCTTAAAGAGGTGGGGTTTCAAGTGTCTCCGGAAGGTGGGGAGTGACTCCGCTGTCCTGGCGTCGTGAGGGAGCTTGTTCCACCATTGGGGTGCCAGAGCAGTGAACAGTTTTGACTGGGCTGAGCGGGAACTGTGCTTCCGCAGAGGTAGGGGGGCCAGCAGGCCAGAGGTGGATGAACGCAATGCCCTCATTTGGGTGTAGGGACTGATCAGAGCCTGAAGGTACGGAGGTGCCGTAACCCCTCACAGCTCCGTAGGCAAGCACCATGGTCTTGTAGCAGATGCGAGCTTCAACTGGAAGCCAGTGGAGTGTGCGGAGGAGCGGGGTGATGTGGGAGAACTTGGGAAGGTTGAACACCAGACGGGCTGCGGCATTCTGGATGAGTTGTAGGGGTTTAATGGCACAGGCAGGGAGCCCAGCCAACAGCGAGTTGCAGTAATCCAGACGGGAGATGACAAGTGCCTGGATTAGGACCTGTGCCGCTTCCTGTGTAAGGCAGGGTCGTACTCTCCGAATGTTGTAGAGCAAGAACCTACAGGATCGGGTCACCGCCTTGATGTTAGCGGAGAACGACAGGGTGTTGTCCAGGGTCACGCCAAGGCTCTTTGCACTCTGGGAGGAGGACACAACGGAGTTGTCAACCGTGATGGCGAGATCATGGAATGGGCAGTCCTTCCCCGGGAGGAAGAGCAGCTCCGTCTTGCCGAGGTTCAGCTTGAGGTGGTGAGCCGTCATCCACACAGATATGTCTGCCAGACATGCAGAGATGCGATTCACCACCTGGTTATCAGAAGGGGGAAAGGAGAAGATTAGTTGTGTGTCGTCTGCATAGCAATGATAGGAGAGGCCATGTGAGGATATGACAGAGCCAAGTGACTTGGTGTATAGCGAGAATAGGAGAGGGCCTAGAACTGAGCCCTGGGGGACACCAGTGGTGAGAGCACGTGGTGCGGAGACAGATTCTCGCACGCCACTTGGTAGGAGCGACCTGTCAGGTAGGACGCAATCCAAGTGAGCCGCGCTGGAGATGCCCAACTCGGAGAGGGTGGAGAGGAGGATCTGATGGTTCACAGTATCAAAGGCAGCAGACAGGTCTAGAAGGACAAGAGCAGAGGAGAGAGAGTTAGCTTTAGCAGTGCGGAGAGCCTCCGTGACACAGAGAAGAGCAGTCTCAGTTGAATGACCAGTCTTGAAACCTGACTGGTTTGGATCCAGAAGGTCATTCTGAGAGTTCTACAGTATTAGTAAAAATGTGATCAATACATGTGGATGATCTTGCATTGCTTGCTGTTTGGGGTTTTAGGCTGGGTTACTGTATAGCACTTTGTGACATCTGCTAATGTAAAAAGGGCTTTATATATACATTTGATTAAATGTGATTGACTGTAGTGTTTGTAAACACCCTGGTAGGTTGATCAGATTACAGGCACTGGTTACAGTGAGGAGATTCCTCTTGAGCATACAGCTTGATGAAAACCAGTCGATATTCTGGTCCCCAATAAAGTAGAGCTCTCTGTTTACATCACATACACTATCAAGCATTTCACACACATTATTTAGATACTGACTGTTATCACTTAGTGGCCTATAGCAACACCCCAAAATAATAGGCTTTAGATGAGGCAGGTGAACCTGCAACCACAACACTTCAATAACACTTGACATGAGATCTTCTTTAAGCATTACAGGGATATGGTTCTGAATATATAAAGCAACACCTCCCCCATAAGCAGTCCCGTCTCTTCTTTAGACTCTATATCCTTGTATTGCTACTGCTGTATCATCAAAGGAATTATCTAAGCGAGTCTCAGAAATTGGTAATATATTAATGTTATCTGATGTTAGCAAGTTATTGATTCCATGAACCTTATTTCTAAGGCTACATATATTAATATGGGCTGTTTTCAGCCCTTTCCTGGGTAGCTAATCAGTGATAGACATAATATGTAAAATAGCAAACAAAGCAAGAGAAAAAAAACATTCAGCAGTCCATTATCAGTTGGTGTGTGTGTGTGTGCTGCGGGGTTGAAGATACAAACCCATAGGTTTGGCTCTCTCATCCCTTCCAGGCTTTTGGGAGGGAGGGTGGACAATGAGCCTGTCATAGCAGATGTAAGCAATGTCCCCACGCGCTCTGGCAGCTTTCATGGCTGGGATAAGTTCTTTCCTCTTCTGACGCACAGCTTCAGGATAGTCCTCATTGAGGAAGATGTATGTTCCTCTCAAGTTCTTGGCTCTTTCCAGAACAGCTACCTTGTCCTTGAACCTCAGGAACTTGACCACTATCGGCCTGGGCAGGTGGTGGGTTTTCCAGTCCTGTGGGCATGCTCCACTTCAATCTTTCTGTGGTCCATCTTCAGTTTCTCCGAGATCATTTCCCTCACTTTGTCCTCAGACTCCGTCCAGGTCTCATGTGGAGATTCTGCAATTCCGTCCACAACCATGTTGTTCCGCCTTGATTGTCCCTCGAGATAATCAGATTTCTCCATCATTATTATCATGGATTCACATATAGAACTGATTGTCCTCTATCAATTACTTACTGTCATCTTGCCATTATCCTGTTTAAACTCATCAAGCTGACCCTGGGAGAACTGCAAACTGTTCTTCAGGTCCTGGACCTCTGGTCAGGTCGTCCATTCTTTTATTAGTTGACTCCACCAGTATTGGACACAACACTTGAAGCTATTTTCTTGTTGTTGTAACAACCTCTTGTAGAACTCTTTTTATTTGTTTAAAAGATAATTCACCTGTCATAGAGAGACACCACTGTCCTCAACGGTACTCCCACTGGCTTTGGTGTTTGTCATGGTAGCAATGTAGGCTACGCTGTTACTCCTCGCAGTTCCAGACAGGGAAGATGGAAACGGCAACAAACAGCAGGATCTAGACAGCCACAAGCCTGGGACAATCTGCGGTCCCAGCCACAAGGGCTAACCGCGTCGTGGGCTTCATTCAAGCCCTCATGCCTGTGTTTTCCACTCTTTCCATATTGTTTCACAGTGGGGCCTTAGGGAAATCACCAGATGCGACAAGTAGACCTATACAGACAAGCAGAAATCCCACTCTGGAACTTTGATATGCCCGTAGAGTATATTATGTTCAATAATATATTGAACAATTTTGCAAATCAGATGTTTTATATTTTCAATGTTCATGTTTCTATTTGTCCATATTCATAAACTAGTCATTACAGAGCAAGCGGTAAAACTTAATATGACACAATTGTTTGCATTGTAGCACCTACAGATGAAACATTATGGAGTCTTAACCTTTTCACACATGAGTTCCAAATATGTCTAACAGTCGCCCCAGAATGAGTATTTTTATGCAGAATTTCTCACTGTTCCAAAATGTGATTGTTACGCAACAGGAAAGTTACCCACACTGCCCTCAAACTAAGGCACGCTGCCTGCTAATTATCTATAGGCTATGTTTCAACTTGTCAATTTCAAATTATTTTCTAACAACAGTTTGAATTGAGGTGTGTTCCACATCTTCATTAATTTACATAGAAGTAGCCCATTTCATGGTTGCGGACAATATATGTTTGAGGCTTTACTGAGAAGGACAAACTTCTCTCTTCAACTAGAGCCCAAGCACTTCCCAAGTGTTTCCCCCAGATGAAGTATGCAGACATTTGCTCATCTCTAGTCAGAAAAGAGCTTGCACAAAGTTTTCCCCCTGGCACATTTTCTGGCTGGCGCCCACATTGCCTTCATTGTTGTATTCATTACTAATAATAACTTTGGATATGTGTGCGTTCCTATCAAAGTAAGTGCCTTATTACGTTATCTTTATAGTTTCTGTATATCGTGTTGTCGTTTCTACTGTAGCACACCGTTTGTATGGAGCATCATGTATTTACTGTTTTATTCACGTTTTCAAATACTGGTGACAAATCATGCATTCCGATTCTTGCATAGATTGTAATGGACACATACAGTGAGGGGAAAAAAGTATTTGATCCCCTGCTGATTTTGTACGTTTGCCCAATGACAAAGACATGATCAGTCTATAATTTTAATGGTAGGTTTATTTGAACAGTGAGATACAGAATAACAACAAAAAAATCCAGAAAAACGCATGTCAAAAATGTTATAAATTGATTTTCATTTTAATGAGGGAAATAAGTATTTGACCCCTCTGCAAAACATGACTTAGTACTTGGTGGCAAAACCCTTTTGGCAATCACAGAGGTCAGATGTTTCTTGTAGTTGGCCACCAGGTTTGCACACATCTCAGGAGGGATTTTGTCCCACTCCTCTTTGCAGATCTTCTCCAAGTCATTAACGTTTTGAGGCTGACGTTTGGCAACTCAAACCTTCAGCTCCCTCCACAGATTTTCTATGGAATTAAGGTCTGGAGACTGGCTAGGCCACTCCTTTGTTGCCTTGGCCGTGTGTTTTGGGTCATTGTCATGCTGGAATACCCATCCACGACCCATTTTCAATGCCCTGGCTGAGGGAAGGAGGTTCTCACCCAAGATTTGACAGTACATGGCCCGTCCATCGTCCCTTTGATGTGGTGAAGTTGTCCTGTCCCCTTAGCAGAAAAACACCCCCAAAGCATAATGTTTCCACCTCCATGTTTGATGGTGGGGATGGTGTTCTTGGGGTCATAGGCAGCATTCATCCTCCTCCAAACACGGCGAGTTGAGTTGATGCCAAAGAGCTCGATTTTGGTCTCATCTGACCACAACACTTTCACCCAGTTCTCCTCTGAATCATTCAGATGTTCATTGGAAAACTTCAGACGGCCCTGTATATTTGCTTTCTTGAGCAGGGGGACCTTGCGGCCGCGGCAGGATTTCAGTCCTTCACGGCGTAGTGTGTTACCAATTGTTTTCTTGGTGACTATGGTCCCAGCTGCCTTGAGATCATTGACAAGATCCTCCCGTGTAGTTCTGGGCTGATTCCTCACCGTTCTCATGATCATTGCAACTCCACGAGGTGAGATCTTGCATGGAGCCCCAGGCCGAGGGAGATTGACAGTTCTTTTGTGTTTCTTCCATTTGCGAATAATCGCACCAACTGTTGTCACCTTCTCACCAAGCTGCTTGGCGATGGTCTTATAGCCCATTCCAGCCTTGTGTAGGTCTACAATCTTGTCCCTGACATCCTTGGAGAGCTCTTTGGTCTTGGCCATGGTGGAGAGTTTGGAATCTGATTGATTGATTGCTTCTGTGGACAGATGTCTTTTATACAGGTAACAAACTGAGATTAGGAGCATTCCCTTTAAGAGTGTGCTCCTAATCTCAGCTCGTTACCTGTATAAAAGACACCTGGGAGCCAGAAATCTTTCTGAATGAGAGGGGTCAAATACTTATTTCCCTCATTAAAATGCAAATCAATTTATACAATTTTTGACGTGCGTTTTTCTGGATTTTTGTGTTGTTATTCTGTCTCTCACTGTTCAAATAAACCTACCATTAAAATTATAGACTGATCATGTCTTTGTCAGTCGGCAAACGTACAAAATCAGCAGGGGATCAAATAATTTTTTCCCTCACTGTATGATGTGTGTAAAATACTTTTTGGATGGTTGTACTGATTATGATGAGCTAATGCTAAGCTAAATGCTAGATATGTGTGGCACCATGTTTGTTGACATCATACAATGCATTCTGGTTGTCACGTAAAAGTCTGTGAGACCAAAGATGTTATAACAAAACGATGTGAAGGAATGGTTCACTCGACTGACTTAGATTGTAACTATCGTTACTCAGGGTTGCCATCTCAGACACTCTTTCCAGGGGTTTTATTTTTATTTTACTTATATACTTCTCCTGTGTTTGCCCCTCATTTATTGATAAATCCCCCATCATAATAATATTTCCTGTATCATATCCCCCCACGATACCTTCACCCATTTCTACCCCCCATAGACTTGAAATCCCCCACAAATGAAATTAACCCCTCCCACAACCCCCCCTAAAATGGTTTCTCCCAAATCTGGCAACCCTGTTTAACTTTCGCGCTACGGTTAGACTAGGCAGTAGGCTTGTATTTGGGGTGATGATCTGTACATAGAAGATTTGGTAATATGCTGAAAAGTGGCCAAACTAAGTTCATATTTTTCGGGCAATGGGCTTTGACTTTGTTTATTTGCGTTTTATAGTGAATTCTGGGATTAGGGAGTTTTTGCTTGTCAAACATAAACAAACATGGCTGCCATCATATAAAATGTAGCTGTTGTTAGCTTAGCTGACACGCATCTATTTTCTAAACAATATTACATTTCTCCCTTGTACTCACTAGAGATGTGGTACATTGAAGTCTAGCTGTTAGCGCAACCTGTTATTTAGACTGGTTTATGGAATGAGTTTGGCTGTGATGTGTGATGCTTGGATGATGAAGTTTGCATTTATCTTTTACAATAAAAGGTCAAATTAAGGAATAAAGTTGTGAAGACCTTTATTTCCCATCAGTACAAAATATTGTTTAGATGCTTTTCAGACAACAATACTGTTTAGACGCGTTTGTTGCATCACACTTTCTGTTGCTACGGTTCCAATCACATATTTGCGATGGTACGCTGCAGGGGCCACTCAACAATGATCACAAATATGTGATTGTACACGTCAAAGGGTTGAAGGAGGCCTTGGTAAGGTCAAAATGTTTACATTATTTCTTAAGATACAAATTTCAAATACTGTATATGTCAACAGTCCTTCCTCCAAATGACCTTTCTATGGATTGAATTATGTGAAATCCCCCGAAATCATGGGCTTTTTTTTCCTCGTTTTGTGAGGAATCACCCACCTATGCTGTGTATTTGGAGATGTGGGGTCTCTTTGGTGGGTGGATGTCTAAATGTGTGTTGTCTACAGTATCTAACCCATTCTCCTCTCGCTCTGTAGATGACAGTATCTCGGCGGCGAGTGCGTCTGATGTGCAGGACCGTCTGTCGTCTTTGGAACTGCGTGTCCAGCAGCAAGAGGATGAGATCACTGTGATGAAGGCGGCGCTGGCCGACGTGCTGCGACGCCTGGCGCTCTCCGAGGACACGGCCACCACTGCCAAGAAACAGACTAGCACCAAAGGTAGTCAGTCACCCCTTGAACCCTGACCCCTGAACTGTCTGTCGTCACCATCACTGTCACCATCTGATGTACTCTCATGATTATACCTGCAATCTGCAGGTTTTTTGCAAACCCTCAGAAATCTGCATGGGTAGGTTCTTAAAACCAACCTGCAAGGGGCAATTTAACAGGGGCAGTTTTACAAACTGATCATGCACTGTCAAATCCATCTGCACTAGCTTCTGTACCATTTACCATAACTTCCCTCCAGCAATGGAAATTCCATTCATCACCACTTTCCCAATGGCTCGTTCAGCCCCTCTCCTCTCCCTTACATTTCTTCACCAGGTCGTAGTTGTGAAAGAGAGCTCTATCCTGTATTCCTCCACTTGTGTTTACATGAAGAAGTTCAGGATGGAGCCTGGATCTGTTAACAGTTCCACTCCGACCTTGACCCCCGGCTTCTATTACCCTCTCAAACCGACACACACCAACACATGCTTACACATCCCATTCAATCACAATCTAACATTATATTCTCCATGACGAATGTGCTCCATTTTCTCTCACACAATTATCCAACCTCTGGTTAACACATTAATACTGTGGGTGTGTCGGCAGGGGGGCCTAATTGTGGATAATGGATCATTATCTGTGTGAATGGCGACTCGGCAGCCTTGTCCTGACATTTTACTTTCTCTAATGGAGCCAATTACTGTATATGATCATGTGGAAGTCTCTCTCTGGGAAGTGTCTTGGCTGGGAAACCATGCATGGGTCCTTGATAAAGAGATATCCTGGCCCTGTTAAAATTCTTTTAAAAAATGCATCCTTTCTTCCTTTCCTGAGGTAACCACTGATCCAACATGTATAGAGTGAGAGCATGGTTTCCATTTCTATGCTTTCACCTATCCATTCATTTCAAATGAGTAATTCCTTCAAGGAAATAAGGATGCACTTGAAAAGTATTGGAACAGGACCCTTACTGTATATGAATGGTAGGATAGGAGTTACTGTATTGTGTGACAGCACTCACCCTGTGTCACCCTTGCTTAGCTCTTTTGTGACACATCCCTCTGTCCATCATCTGTCACTCCTCCCTCCAGCCCCCTCTGATCCCTTGTTCCGGTCAGCTCTCCATTCCGCTGGTCACCTTTTTATCTCATTATGACGTCACTCTCCTACTTAATACCATCTATCACCATAGTGACGACCCCTGGCAACCCCTTGCTGTGTGTGCGTACTACTCTAGTGAGTTAGTCAGCACTCCTGGCACATTGACATTGACTGATGTTATTTAGGGGTTATTGAGTTGATGTGTTACGGCATTGGCAGTTTGGCACATACAGTGGCAGAGCTTTGTGTCGTGGGCAGTAATCTGGGACTGAAGCAGACAGGAAGCAAAGGAAATCACATGGTTCAGTTTAGTTTCTCTGCAGACACCCATGCTCTGACTTCAAAGCCAACTCTACAGAGTATGCAAACCACCGCCGCCCCACATACACACACTCAGAGCACGCATGCACACACAGAGCCCCTTCCTGCTCTTGTTAACTTACTCAAGTACCAGAAATATCTTCCTCTCCTGTTCAGTCTTCCTTTCCCCTCTACCACTTGCATTATTGGCCAGCACTGTATCCCTTTCTCTCATTCTCATTTTTGTAAACTTTTCTCTTTTTCCAGCCCCCTATCTTTATCTTTCCAGCTCTCATTCTTTCCACCCTTTCCACCAAATCTTTCTATTTTCCAAGTAATTTATTATCATGAACGAGGAAGCCAAGGCATACGGAGGTTCTCTTAGTGTGGCACTATGAACACTGCAGACACACACACACAGAGGTCACTTTCTCACTGGCTTGGGGCTGTCCTCCAGTCCTTCAGACCTCTGTATGCATGCACAAACACACACACAAACCTGTCAATCACATGGCATCGATGGGAGAGATAAACGGTTTATAAGATCAGGAAGCCAGGTCGATAGATGAAGACCCTCCCTCTTGCAAGGCATTAGTCATTGTTGATATGCAGTGCCTTCAGAACGTATTCATACCCCTTGACTTATTCCACGTTTTGTTCTGTTACAGCCTGCATTTAAAATGGATTAAATAGTGTGTGAAATTGTGTGTATTGTGTGAAAATTATTTTTCACACAATACCCCATAATAACAAAGTGAAAACATGATTTTAGAAAGGGGCGTGAATACTTTCTGAAGGTACAGTCTTTAGAATAGGATAGGTTTGATTTTGGTTGACTTTTCATTCATTAGACTCATTGAATCTCCCTCTGGCCTTGTGTACCAGCATTTCCAGTCTTCCCCCAATTACACTCAGGCTGTCTTTTGTCTTGATGTTGAGGGGGAGGGGAGGAGACTGGTGAGAGGAGGGAGGTGGTGGGGGCTGGTGGTTGGGGTAGGGAGGCCACCTCCTCCGCCATGCTGTGTGTTTGTGCTGGGGAGGTAATGGGCCGTGAAACTGGGCCTTGTGTCACTGACACGGAATCAGGCATCCACTGGGACGCCGCGCGCCCCCCAACATAGCCCTGCCCCCCACATATCTTGGAGAGGAAACACGTCTCACCGAGTGATGGTCAGCTGTTAGTCTGCCTTTCCTTCGGTGCGGTGTGTTTTAGGGACCACCCGTCGGTGGGCGTCTGACTGCCGACATTTTTGCCAGTTCTACATGTACAATCGTTTTGCAAATTATGGCTGGCACACTGTTCAGAGGTGCTAAGTATTCTTGGCTGGCAAATGTTACCGGTGTGTCCGTGCCTTTACAGAAGTGTCATTGAAGCTTCATTGGGAGGAAGGATGTGTTTGATATGCTTTTTACATTCGTATCACACATCATTTTGGAGAGAATCATGATGGAAGTGGCCATTTTAGGCCCTTTTTAGACTTATTCAGACCATCCTCCTGGAAGGCTCTATGATCCGTACTCTGTACATGCTACATACACCATCTTGATGCCATTATACTCCTTGTAGTGTGCTCTAGAATAAGAACTATGTCTAGATTCTGGAGGGAAAAAATGGACATTATTTTATTCAAGATTACAAATATTATTATTAACATCTCAAAAGTACCCTTTTTGATTTTGCTTATATTTATACATATTGTTTGGAACAATATACTATTCAAACACGTCAAATTTCAAGAATGGGCTCTCTGCTACTTTTGGAGATATGATCCATTTTATACATAGAAACTCACATTATAGGTAATTAACCGAACATGGCCCTCCTTTAGGATTGTACATTCAGCAAATTACCAGCAGTTCCCTTTGAATCAATTTTCCCATTCACTGTGTTGGGGGGGGGGGGGGGGTGAGCCAGGACCTGCTCTCCCTAATCCTTCCTTTGTTCTCCATCGGATCAGACTCTTAACCCATGTTTGTTTGTCTGTCTGCCGAGCAGTCATACTCTCATACTCCCTTGTTCAACCACTCCCCCTCCCTTTAATCCCTATATACTGCTGTAGACAGTTGGGCTGTCCCCGACTCTTGGTCGACCGAAAGTCGTCTGTTTTTTCGACCAATCGATTGGTCGACATTTTTAAACATGTATTTTTTCATGTGTTTTAATAAAATCAACTAAATGCTTGTCCTATGCTGTTTAATGAAATAAAACACAAATGACTCAAGAGGGGACCAGAGATCAAGATAACCAGAAGAGAAAAACCTTAACCTTACCCGACCATCCTCCTCCTGCTCCTGCTGTCTTTCGCAGATTCTGCCATTACTCTCCTGAAGTTGCCGGTAATAGGCTACATGAGGAGTCGGAAACCTTTCTCATGTAGAATGCTGATTTATCTTACTATTTATACCGATCTGCGTGCCAGTTATGGTTTTCATATTCACATTTTCGTAGAACAGTTTCATTTAATTTATAATAACATCTTCGTATCTCAAAACCATTGTCATGTGGTTAATCAAAATTCTATCCAAATCCAAATGAAAATAATACAAACCTAAAAAGTAACTTATATTGCCATTGCCAACTATGTAATAGCCTACAACAAATAAAAACATTGCAGTCTGCAGGTAGAAAATATCCTGTAAATCGCATTGGCTATGCATGGCCGGTCTGCAACGAACTTGAAACATTGTGTCAACTATCATTTTGGGTCCAGAAAAGCTCACTAGCAAACTTGCAACATTGTTTCCTGTGCCAGTGAGCTTGGGACAGACACAGCTGTAGGCTATTTTGCGCAAGGGATAAGAGCTCATCAGGTAGATATATTTTTAGGACGTTTCCACTGGATCAGAGCATGACATTTTTCCCTTTCACGCTGAGTGGTTATCGAAAGGGAGAGAGCTAGAAAGATTTTTCAGGGCCTCCCGAGTGGCGCATTGCAGTGCTAGAGGCGTCGCTACAGACCCGGGTTCGATCCCAGGCTGTGTCGCAGCCGGCCGCGACCAAAAGACCCATGAGGCGGCACACAATTGGCCCAGCGTCTTCCGGGTTATGGGAGGGTTTGGCCGGCCGGGATGTCCTTGTCCCATCGCGCTCTTGCGACTCCTTGTGGCGGGCCGGGCGCATGCACGCTGACTTCGGTTGCCAGTTGTACGGTGTTTCCTCCGACACATTGGTGCGGCTGGCCTTCCGGGTTAAGCGAGCAATGTGTCAAGAAGCAGTGCGGCTTGGCAGGATCTTGTTTCGGAGAACGCATGGCTCTCGACCTTCCCCTCCCCTGAGTCAGTACGGGAGTTGCGGCGATGGGACAAGACTGTAACTACCAATTGGATATCACGAAATTGGGGAGAAAAAGTGCAAAAAAACAACAAAAAATAACAACAATTTTTCTAATACGTTGAGGAACTATTGTCATTCTCAATGGATGTAAAAACAGACTTTGTTTGCTTGCTGTTTGAGGTGAAGAAAACATTACATTGTGAAGCTCCACAGCTCATTAGTGGTGGTGCATTAAGCCAATCAGAAATACTATCAGATCCCCAAATGGGCACGTTTAGGCTATACTTCTATGCATAATCAGGTGCACATCCTTACTCAACATTGACAGTAGCGCTCCAAACAAAAGACAATAACTAAATTGACAAAACTCGTAAATGGAATGAAATAAACCAAAACTTGTTTCTCACAAGTGTAGCAGGTTGTGTGTTCTGCAAACAACGTGTCCACGCTGACAATAAGAACGGTAAAAGACTGGAATAATAATATATTGAATGCATGAACAGAAATTAACATAACCAAACAAACATTGTAGATTAGAAATTATAGGAATTAACGGTAAATGTAGGCTACTTCTGGTGATATATGTATTTGAAATTGATAGACACTAACAATCAAGGCAAACAATTCACACAGTGAAGTTATGAAACAATGAATGTGGACAAATTGGCGAGAGAGAGCACATTCTTCTTGGACTGTTTTTATTTTTATTTATTTCACCTTTATTTAACCAGGTAAGCCAGTTGAGAACAGGTTCTCATTTACAACTGCGACCGCAGTGTCTCAACCTCCGCAATGGATTAGTCTCAACCTCTGCAATGGATTAGTTCACTGACATGGGCGCGAATCAGACAGGTGTCCCGTGTGCCATAAAAAAAAAAAAAAAGATATATTTGCTACTGCTCGACTAAACAATATATTGGTCGACCAACAGCCTATCGACCAGTCGACAAATTGGGGTCAGCCCTAGTAGACAGTGTCTCTTTCTCTTGCGCTCTCTTTCTCTCTCGCTCTCTTTCCTCCCATATTTCTACCCATTGTATCCTGATGTACAGGTAACGGCCAAAATAAAGGAAACACCAACATAAAGTGTCTTAATAGGACGTTGGGCCAACACGAGACGCCTGAACCGCTTCAATGCACTTTCGCATAGATTCTACAAGTGTCTGGAACTCTATTGGAGGGATGTGGCACCATTCTTCCACAAGAAATTCCATAATTTGGTGTTTTGTTGATAATGGTGGAAAACACTGTCTCAGGCGTCGCTCCAGAATCTCCCATAAGTCTTCAATTAGGTTGAGATCTGGTGACTGAGACACACACACACACACACATACACACACAATTTAAACCCCCTATGCTCCTTTGAGACCCCTCTTTCAAAGTCACTGAGAGCTCTTCTTCTAACCATGGTAGCCAAAATAATTGGCAACTGGGCATTTTTATACATGACCCTAAGTATGATGCAAGGTTAATTGCTTAATTATCTCAGGAACCACACCTTTGTGGAAGCACCTGCCTTCAATATATTTTGTATCCCTCATTTACTCAAGTGTGTCCTTTATTTTGGCGGTTAACGGTATGTACTGCATAGGTTTTACTGTCCCCTCTGACTGTGCTCTCTCCTGCCCATTGTAGGCCAGACTCCCCTGCGCGAGGCCTACTCTATGTCCTGCATCGCCAACGGCAGCTCCAGCAGCCGCAAGCCCAGCCACAGAGACCGAGACAGCTCCACAGTTTCCGTCACCAGGAAGGATACCTTCTCCTCAGCAGCCAAGAGGTACTGTACTACACATACACAGTAACATACGATACACACACACATACCATTCAAAAACAGTCATTGCACAACTCTAGACCTGCTCGTATCAGATGGGGAGCCATTGATGCAGAGTCTGTATTGACGTGTTTTGCTTCGAAACGCCACATTAATCTCTCCCAGAAAATAAACTTGATTTGTCAATCTGTTGAATGTTGATCACGTGTTTAACTTTCTCCCTTGCAGCTTGCAGTGATTCAGCAGAATAAAGCCTATACAGTACACTTCCCTGGTTATTTCTGGACAATGATGTTGTGATGGGGTACCTGTTACAGCATGTAGCTAAGCCTATGGCTAAGCATTGCTGAGCACTTCCTCAATGAGTAACTCGATATTAATCAAATATACTGGCTCAGCTATTCACTGCCTATGGAGGAAGTTGGGGCCTTGCAGGTCTCTCAGTAGTGAAGGCTGCGGGTAGAAGTTGCCCGTATAGGAACAGATCTAGGATCAGCTTACCATCAGCGGTGTCCTGGTGTACCCCTTTGTCTTGTTATTTGCCATTCTTTGTCCTCATAGATATGTTCCATCTGTTTGTGTCCCCTTGTACCCATGGTTCCACTCGTTTGGTTATCCTCTGGTTGACCCCTGGTTGTCTCCACAGCGGTCAGACAGCGGAGAGGAAAAAGGACAAGCCTCAGATGGAGGGCATCAAGGAGAAGGAGGAGGGGCCCTCCCAGCCCAACCAGGCTAACGATAAACCCTCCCCTGCCAGCCCCGTACAGCCCGCTCCGTCCCCCTCCATCTCCAGCCATCCCCCCTCCCCTCACCCCCCTCAGTCCCAAAGGCAGGCCCCGGAGAGCAAGGGCACCTCCCCAGCCAAAAGGTTCCTAAGATGCCCATTTTGTTTGTCGATGCCCCCCCTTACCAATGCAATGCCCTGCCGACACTGAATGCTCATGACTTTAGCTTACCTTTGACTGGGGGCAGGGTTGGCATGCTTCTTAGATCACTTACATTTGAACCCTTTATGGTTATTAACCTCTTCTCTCCTTCTCTTTCTCTATCTCTCACCTGTACTTTCAGTTGTCTTTCCCTGTACGGACTCAGCCACTGCAGACCTTAGTTTCTCGAACTGCGTAACTTCTCTTTTAGACTAGTTGTAGCCCTGCTTGTAGCAAAGCCCTTTCATTCAGAGATGAGAGGACAATAGAGGAGAATGGTTTGCAGATTTCCCTTCTGCCCTCATCTGCAACAGTGTGAGCCCTCTCACCATTAGGAATAGGAGAGGCCCTATCTGTCATATACCAGCTGTGCTTCGTACCATTCAGGATATATACACACACACATGCACACACCAGCCCTAGACACGGGAAACTGTTGAGAGTGAAAAACCCAGCAGCGGGGGCCTCCCAAGTGGCGCAGTGGTCTAATGCACTGCATCACAGTGCTTGAGGCGACACTACAGCCCCAGGTTCGATCCCATGCTGTGTCACAGCCGGCCGTGACCGGGAGACCCATGAGACGGCGCACAATTGGCCCAGCGTCATCCGGGTTAGGGGAGGGTTTGGCCATCTGGGATTTCCTTGTCCCATCGCGCTCTAGCGACTCCTGGCGGGCCGGGAGCCTACAAGCTGACTCGGTCACCAGTTGGCCGGTGTTTCCTCCGACACATTGGTGCGGCTGGCATCCGGGTTAAGCGAGCAGTATGTCAAGAAAAGTAGTGCGGCTTGGCAGGGTCGTGTTTCGGAGGATGCATGGCTTTCGACCTTGCCTTTTCCGAGTCCGTAGGGGAGTTGCAGCGATGGGACAAGACTGTAACTACCAATTGGATATCACGAAATTGGGGAGAAAAAAACTGTAAAAGTAATACAAAAATAAATAAAAAACAGCAGCGTTGCAGATCTTCACACACTCAAACTGGTGTGTCTGGCTCCTACTACCCCGGTAGTCTTGCCCATTCACCCTCTGAGTGGCACACATACACAACCCATGTCTCAAGGCTTAAACATATTTCTTTAACCTGTCTCCTCCCCTTCATCTAAACTGATTGAAGTGGATTTAATAAGTGACATCAATAATGGATCATAGCTTTCACCTGGATTCACCTAGTCAGTCTGTGTCATGGAAAGAGCAGGTGTTCTTAATGTTTTGTACACTCTGCTGTAGAGCAATGATACTGTACCAGTACTGCGTGCGTGCGTATAGTAGGGTTATGGATCAATTCTGTTCAGCCTAGGTTGTTATTTTCCTGCCAAATTCCATGCAGGCAGTTAGAATAAGCAGAGGTTGTCTGGATATATTTCCCTTCCTGTCCCTGTCTCTCCCTCTACATACAATAGATAAGGAGAGAGTACAGACTCTGTAAATGTAGAAGTGTAACACATGGTTGAACCACCTCCCCTCCCCCAACATTCAGCCCCAGTCCTATCTGCCCCTCAGTGTCACTATGGCCCCCTGGAGGTAGAACAGACACCATGCAGAAGTGATCCAAAAACGTTACGTCTCGCAATTAACCCCTTCCTCCTCACAGCTTCGCATGAGGAGTGGTATTCTTCACGCTCCCGCTCTCTTTCTTTCACAATCCCTTCTCTCTCTCGCTGCTCTCTCTCTCTCTCTCTGCTCTAGCCATTCTCCAAACCTTCCATTCTTCACTGTTACTCAACCTCCTCATCTTTGACTTTACTTGCAGTGTGGTTCTTATAGCCAACTCTCTGGCCTCCTCTGTCTCCTGAAGCCTGGGGCTTGACTTGTTTAGCCAGCCCATGTGTACTAACCTGTGACTGGGGTGGGCTTTCCCCTGTGTGCCTGGCTACAGCAGCATGCATGGATTCTAACAAATCTCCATTATCACCATGGCACTCCATACTCCTGCTTTCTTTCTGTCTTTCTCTCTTCCCCTCGCTATCTGTCTCTAAAAGGAACTGTTTATTTTTTGTGTGCACCCTGTACGTCCATCTGTGTGTAGGGGTCACAGTGCAAAGCGGGGCACGGGGTTGGAGCGTTCACAGAGCAGTACGTGGGAGAGTGGCGAGGAGAGCAGGAACAAGCTGGTGAAGGCTGCCTCCACCTCTAAACTGCTGGCCAAGGTGGTGAAGAACGCAGACAAGTGAGTGGCTGATGGGACACGTTTTACAAATCTGATATAAACATATGTGTGAAAGTGTAATGCAAATACAGTGATGCATAAGAACTGAATTCCGGTCTATGTTTTGTACTGAGAGGTGAGACTGGCCTGCATTTGTTTATGGGGTGTACATTAGCCTGAGAGTACCTTTCAGATATTACACTATCATCCAAGAATCACTATGACAACCCCTTAATTCCCTATATTGTGTTCATCCAAAGTCCCTCCCTAATATAGGATGCTGTTAAATTGGCCCAGCTGTCAGATAAACTTCACTTGTTTTGTAGTCTCAAGTCACAGTCTGACGTTATTGTTATTTCTCCATTCTCTTCCAGGCATAAAGACCCAGTGATCAGCCAAGGTGAATATACTCTTTTTTCTAAGTACGTCATCCACCACCACGTAATGGAAGCACTGTAGCTATGTACTATAGTATACCCACACAATTGGCATATCTGTTTACAACCAGAGCATTTATTTATTAAGATGTACAATATGATACAATGTAACCTAAAGTGTGCTCTCATTGGGCTAATGAAAACGCTGTACTGTACTGTGTAAGTTTGAGAGTACCTTTAGGTAAGAGAAGAGCTGTATTTCAAAGCCTAGCTTCTTGTGGTTCCTTCAAAATATAGTCCTTCATCCTATTGTGTAGACCCAACTAGTCATTGTTGATGTCTTCAGATCATTCTAGCTCTTCTCCCCTGTGTACTATCATTGTGTGTGTGTGTGTGTGTGTGTGTGTGTGTGTGACATTGTTTCTGTCTCATGACCAGCCAAAATGTCAACCCGCGAGAAAAACAGCCAAGCAGGTAAGTTGTCACCAGATAGCGAGGAGAGCTACCAGCCTTGGGAGGAGTGCTTGCCCACCCTCTCTGCTTTTTGGCTTTATCTATCTATCTATCCATCTATCCATCTATCCATCTATCCATCTATCCATCCATCTATCTATCTATCTATCTATCTATCTATCTATCTATCTATCTATCTATCTATCTATCTATCTATCTATCTATCTATCTATCTATCTATCTATCTATCTATCTATCTATCTATCTATCTATCTATCTATCTATCTATCTATCTATCTATCTATCTATCTATCTATCTATCTATCTATCTATCTATCTATCTATCTATCTATCTATCTCTGACACTCCCTTTATCATGTCAAACATAGACAGGATCTCTTGTTTCCCCCTGCACTCTCTCTCTCTCCTATTTATCTCTCGGTCTCTCTATCACTCCCTCAAATACAGATCTCTCAATCTACCCCTCCCTCTATACTTTCTCACCTTCCTCCATGTAATTCCCCTCAGCCGATTCCCAGCCTAAATAAAGGGCATAGCTGTGCCAGTATGCCATACTCCGCCCTGGCCCCTTGCCACTTAGCGGAGTGTCATCTGGGATGTCATAACTAGATAGGTCCTGGGATGAATTCTTGCCCTTCGTCTGGGTGAAAGCGTTCCACTCTTGGCTCAGTCAGGTCACCCCTGGTTATGTGAGGAATTTGGTTGGTCCTGAGACTGCTGGCCAGGGTGCTCAATTAGCTCCACAGACAGACAGACAGAGACTTTGGAATGGAATTCAGCTAATTCAACTAATTCAGTACATTCTAGGTAGTCATAACTAGATAGGTCCTGGGATGAATTGTGGCCCTTCAGTTTGAGTCTACTGTATGCTCCCCCTTAATCTGGGAAAACTGGAAGAAAGCCCTCGCTCTATTTTATGAGCAATGGTGAAATGTGGTCCCCATCCAACCATCTCCCTCTTGTCCTCTCACTAGGACAGTATAAACACTCCACTGATCCCAGTCTACCACAAATCTACCTCCCCCTCTTCTTGCTCTCTATTCCCCCTCTTCTTTTCTACTTTTCTTTCCACCTACCACGGTTTCTTATTTCAGCTGAGTTTGGGGTTGCTGACTCACTGCTTTGCACCACTGCACGGCACCCAACGCTTCTCTCGGTCTGTCTGTCTGTATATCTGTCTCTATGTCTGACTGTCTATGCAGTATCTCATCTCTGGATGAGTGGAAAGCATGTGCAGCACACTAACTGAACTCATGAGGCTTTTCAAGGCTTTTGTAGGTTTTTCTGTAAAAAAGTGTTCTCACTCGAAGTGATTATGTGTGCCGGTGGTGAGCAGTCAGGCTGCTGAAATTCTTCTGTTAATGGACGAAAGTCATGTCATGCGCTCTCACTCACGCTCTCAGACTCATGCCTCTATATGAACCTTTATTAAACAAGACGTATTTGTCTGACCACAGTCATTTTTATGCATTACCTCTGCTCAGGCCTAGGTTCCAATACTTCTGTGAGTGTTTGCTCTAGCCTGCCTGAATACTCTAGCCTGCCTGAATACTCTAGCCTGTCTGAATACTTTCAAATAGTATTTGATCCCAGGTCTGCCCCTACTTATACCTGTGCTAATACTGTATGTTGAATGTGTTTGCAAAAGCATGAGTTTAGTATCACCAGAATTCTTCTGTATATAGAAAGTCAAAATGGCGATCGTGATATAGCTAGCTAAACAACTTTATTTTGTTTGTCTCCTCCACAGAGGGAGACTACATCAAGATGTTCATGCGAGGTCGTCCCATCACCATGTTCATCCCCGCGGATGTGGAGAACTATGATGACGTGCGCACAGAGCTGCCTCCAGAGAAACTCAAACTTGAGTGGGTGTATCCTTTCTTCGTAGCAGGGCCTGGTCCCAAACGCTCTGTTACTCTGTGTGTCCCTGACCTTGGTCTCTCTGTTGTCTGTCTCTGGGCTCAAAAGATGTGCGGTATAAGATAAGTCAAAGCAAAATGGTGGAGGCCTTATAGGTATTCACTTTCACCTGTCCAGTTGTTTTCACGTTGCAGATGAAGGAAAGGAGACTAGTAGAATGAGCCAATTTATACTGTTAAGATGCACCCTTTGAGGTCTCTTGTGTTTCTCTCTATGGGTTCCCCCCCATGTGTTCTGTGTTGTTGTTCCTTGAGTCCCTATGTCAGGTATGGCTACAGGGGGAGAGACTGCAGAGCCAACGTGTACCTGCTCCCTACAGGGGAGAGTGTATACTTCATAGCCTCCGTGGTAGTGCTCTTCAACTATGAGGAGAGAACACAGCGCCACTACCTTGGCCACACCGATTGTGTCAAATGGTGAGCTGGTATCTTGTTCTACATTATGTTTTTTGTCAGCCTGGGAGTATTGGTCAGCCTTGGTTGGTTAGTATCAGGTAATGAATTCATACAGTAGCTTACACACCATCATGGGCTGTGTATTCTGGATACAGTAGATAAGATACACTAGATTCAGAAGATACAACAGTATGTTCCCAGGGTCTGAATGATGTACAAACACTTCATACAAAACCTTTATTGCGGATTAAGCAAAGAGTTGTCACAGACACAATGGTTCTTACACTAACCGCTGTGTAGCTTACACGTTCAGCTTAACTGTCTCCAGGTCCCATCCTCCCAGGGGCCTCTTAAGATAAACAGACTATGTAAATGAGATATAAATGTCTTCTGTCCGGGTGGTAGAGAAGTAGGAGAGTCAAATTAGTCTGTGATAGCAGAACCCTGACTCAGACCTTTGTTTGAAACGAAACGCCTCACTTCCTCCCATCAGACAGGCAAACAGGCCAGCTCAGTCAAGCAGCTCCCTCTCAACTTACTTCATTTTACACCTGACATACTCCTCGTATTATGACAGATTGTTGCTGACTGTAGGTTTTTTCAATAGGGAGGTAGTTTCCCAAACTTGAATTTTTGTATTGGTTTGACATTCATCTATTCATGTTTTGTCTCTCATTCTATCTGTATGATTTTCTCTATTTCTCTCTCTAATATCTTCTCTGTCTCTCTCGCTCTTTCTCTCTCTCTCTGTTTATCTTGCTAGCCTTGCTGTTCACCCCGATAAGATCCGCATTGCCACGGGACAGATTGCAGGAGTGGATAAGGATGGGCGGGTGAGTCACACTCCCACCTCCTCACCCATTCCTAACCCCCTCACTTTCAACCCCCCACCTTCTGCTAGCTAAATCCTTTAATGGTATGTTCGGATGTGTGACATTTCGTTATTCATGTACATTTCATGTTTGTTCAACCAGATTAAGGAGCACATATGCTGTTTTCTTCCCTATCATTCACACACACACACACACACACACACACACACACACACACACACACACACACACACACACACACACACACACACACACACACATGGGCAAGTCACAGGGCTGAAATGTCACCTATGTAACGCCATGGGTTTTTCCAAGTGAGTTATGAAGTCTTATTCCAGCCCACCGAATACAGAGAGACACCTGTGGTTATGTTTAGCAGCATAATCCTTGTTTGCACTATGTCTCTTCTTGTGTACAGTATAGTATTTCTGCTTGCGTTGCACAATCAGGCTCACTCATGTCTTTGTCAGGCAGACCCAGACAAAAGGTGCTCCATATTTACTCAAGCATACCAGTAATCAGTGCGCTCATGCAACTCATTATATTTAAGCTCTCTGTTGTCTATACATGCCAAACTGGCACTAACCTTCCTGGAACGACTCTGTAGAAGAGTATCCTACCTGTCAGTCAGCCTGATCCTGCACAAACTCACTCACTGACTACCTGTTAAAGGCTTTCTCAAGTCTTTAAAATGGCTTCCTTTCCTTACCTCCTTCCCCCTTTCCTTCATGACCACTGATCTTAGAGGATATGATAGATGAAAAGCAATTGGGTGGAAATCAGTCCAGTCCTTTTATCTACAAAAATGATGTGTGTTTTTTCCTCTCCTCATCTACCAGTGATTATGAAGGGAAGGAAACAGGGAAAAGATGCTGTAAAAAAAAGTATACTGTAAATGCAGCCAGAGTGTCTGATGAGTTTGGCAACAGTGATAGCTTGTTAAATCATGTGTATGTCTCCTCTTCTCCCTCTAGCCGCTGCAGCCCCACGTGAGGGTGTGGGACTCGGTGAGCCTGTCCACCCTGCAGGTCATCGGCCTGGGCACCTTTGAGAGAGGAGTGGGCTCCCTGGCCTTCTCCAAAGCGGTGGGTACCCCTAGCACCTCCAATGGTATAATCCAGGACGTGTTAGTCATTATGAGAATTGTGGGTACTGGTGTAGTACATTAAATGAAACCCCATTCTGACTGGGAAGGGTATATCACACACATCCGATAGATCACACACTCACATCACAGCCAGTGGATCTAGATTAGAGGTTCTACTCAGTTCTGGAGTTCTAGGTGCTGTGTGTTTCTGGACTGAGCCCTTTCGTAATCAGGCTAGTGGGTCAGACTGGTGTTATTGTGGTGTTGAATACCTCATAGGCTCTCTAATCAGTAGTAGTTTACAGTTCCTATTCTCTCTCTGTCCTCAGTTAGCACATTCCAGAACACAGCTTTTACTGTCTGGCTCCCTTCACACGCAAACACAAACACACCGTGACCCATTTCCATACAAACAAACACAATTAATCTCCCACACAAACATGCATTCTAAGTGATTCATTATCCCCTTATGTTATCAAAGGTCTAACTAAGCAGTGGATTTGCCCTATCAAATAATAGGAAAGCTTGAATGAAGGTTATTATCATCTTCTGCTGTTGCTGATATCATTATGCCAAATCTACTCAATGGCTAACTACTTAGAAGAGTATTGTTTAGTCCTGCTTGCTTTATGGCCATTTTGCAACATGTGGATTCATGTTTAGACTTCCATGCCCTCTCACCAACATACAGCGTGTAGCTGTGAATAAACTGGAATTATATTATTATTATGTTATTCCATATTTAGTGAATTGCAGAAAATAGGATATGTGTTTCATGCAAGCTTTACTGACAAGACTTTCCCCTGTGTTTCTCCTACAGGACTCAGGTACACACCTGGCAGTGATTGATGATTGTAACGACCACATGTTGACTGTCTGGGACTGGCAGAAGAAATCCAAAATCGCTGAAATCAAGGTCAGAGATACCTGGGGTGTTTTGTACTGTGTAATTCTGCCTAAAATACGTAAAAGCATTTGATGATTTGGTTATGAAATACATTTTATTGTTAACTGTATATGATCTTTGTTTTACCTCCTCTAGTCTACAAATGAGGTGGTGCTTGCGGTGGAGTTCCACCCTACTGATGCCAACACCATAGTAACCTGTGGCAAGTCACACATCTTCTTTTGGACCTGGGCTGGCACCTCGCTGGCACGCAAGCAGGGCATCTTCGGGGTGAGGACCTTTTCACTTGTTCAGTACTTAAAAACGTGTAAAGTACTTAAAAAGATCTGCTTGAGCCAAACTGATCTGTCGCTCTGTAAACATGCCTGGGCGAGAATAAATAATAATAGCAAGCAAGCATATGGGCTTAGCCAACAACATAACGACAAAGACGTTGTCAGCAATGGAATATTGACGGACAGACAAAGTAGGCTACTACAATGCCACAAAATCAACGATATGGCCTCAGCAACGTCGACAGAAAATATAACTAACTAGATCAATAGCTAGAACAACAATGACTAGCTAATTACGGATTCTGATTCACACAACATGTTTGTAGAGAGAAGGGGAGTTGTGCCATGAGATGAGTGAAAATGGAGCCGTGTGGGAGGGAGGGGGAGGGAGCCGGGCTTGTTATAATCCAATCGTGGCAGCAGGTTTAACCTACACCCTGCCGGTTTCTTTACAGACAGCCGAACTAGCCAATTTATTTATTTAGAGTGCACAGCGCTTCACACTGTGACAGAGAGATGCGTGCTGGGAGAGAAGGGTGTAACTGCAGCCCGCAACTCAGGGCGTCCTGCGTGTGGGTATTCCTGCATCTGCAGGAACCCCTCTTTATACTTCTATTGGTCAATTTTTAAGCTATGACTCCAGTACATAGGCAGGAGGCAGGGGTGCTCCAGTACAGTAGATGGTGGTAATGCACTATAACATTGAATGCCAACCGCCGATAAACCCTACAGAAGAAGAAGAGGCTAGGACACACTGGTAGGCTGGAGGCGGGGGTGACACCATGTGTTAGCTAGCACTGGTGTCACCCCCGCCTCCAGCCTGCTGTGTCCGCCTGCCGAGTCCTCCTTAGACTAGCTGGCTAAACAGTGCAGGAATGACCACATGCAGGAGTGCTCAGAATTGCGGGCTGCAGTTGCACACTATTGTGCTGGGAGCTGGAAATTACTTTTTTCAGATCACGGATAATTACCAAAAAATTGTATCATAATCATATTCGGAAAATTCTCCATATTCGTTACGATACTTGTTTTGTCAGAGTACTCGGCACACCCCTATGTGTCACCAAAAGTGCCTTAAATAATAATGTGATGTTAGAATATTATGTATCCCTTTCATAGTATACCTTTACCCATACATTTTTCTCTAGTCTGCCTGAACACGTAGACGACAATTATTACAAAGACATTTCATTCTCAGTCTCTCCCTATCCTGTTTCAGAAATACGAGAAGCCCAAGTTTGTTCAGTGTCTGGCCTTCCTCAACAACGGGGACATCTTGACTGGAGACTCTGGAGGCATCATATTGATATGGAGCAGGAGCACAGTGGAGCCGGCCCCAGGGAAAGGACCCAAAGGTACACTATACACATTGTACACCTTCCACTGTACTTTAAACCTCACAAACAGTCCCTACACCCACCTGTATAGTGCTACAGTACTGATGGCACAGTTGGTTGGAGCATGGTTCTTGAAACACCAGGATTGTGGGTTTGATTCCCTCATAAGCCATGTATAGCCTACTGAATATTTGTTTTAAACTTACCGGTAGTCACTTTGGTAAAACCGTCTGACCATATCATACATACCCACATGAGTAATACAAATAGTTAACTTTCCCAGTGAGTCTCAGACACAGACGAGAGCAACTGAAAGAGGTGGTTTGAGACCGAAGAAAAGAAAACAGCCTTGAAGGAGAGACACAGAAGAAAAATAAAAGTGTGGGAGAGAGAAGGAGAGTGGGTGTGAGTGTTGGCAGGCCCCAGTGCCTGGGGGACGGAGGGTGTTGGGGTTTGAGCAGTAATGGTTTTGGTTGGCATGCAGTGGAACTGGATGAGCTAGGGCCAGGCGCCATGGATAAATTGTTAATCTCTCTTTATTTACCTGCTCTGCTTCGATCTGCTCTGCTCTACTAGCTCTACTGGGGTGGGCTAGGATGGCCCACGGCGCCACCCGGTGGTTAGATGGTGGGAATGCATGTGTGTCACAGGAACTTGGTGGCACCTTAATTGGGAGAGAACAGGCTCGTGGTAATGGAGCGGAATAGGTGGAATGGTATCAAATACATCCATGTGTTTGATGCCATTCCATTTGCTCCGTTCCGGCCATTACTATGAGCCGTTCTCCTGTGATGTGTGTGTGTGTGTGTGTGTACAGTTTGTGTGTGTGTGCACATGCTTGAGCGTGCGTGTGTGAATGCTTGTGTCTTCTTGAGTGCGTGTGTGGGTCTGTCTGAGCTCTGCAGGGATGAAGGTCATGCCAATGTGGGGAGCAGAAGCGATACAATATTACCCCCATTAAGAATTCCACTGCCTCAGGTTTAGTCTAACTAGCCTTGAGGAATGGGCCTGCCGTGCTGTGTATCTGTGTGTTATCAGCAGAGACATGTAGTATTATAACAGGAGGAGTGATAATCAGAATGTGGAGAATGCAGACACATCAACCCTAGACACACGCACAGACGCTCACACTCATTCAAACATGCCTTCCACAGCTATCTTCTTAACCACACACACACAGACTCACACAGACACACATATACTCTCACTCACTTCCCCCTTCAAATGCTCCCCTGAGAAAACAACAAGAGCTGGCCTGTAGCGTGGCATATAAACCACATTAGCGAATGTCAAGTATTTGTGGTATCCTATTCCCAGAAATCTCTGCTGTGAGCTGTTTTACAGCCTCTCATTCCTCTCCCTCCTCTTTCCTTCTGGCCAATTTTCCTTCCTTCTCTCACTCTCTCTCATTCTCTCTCTCTCTCTCTCTCTCTCTCTCTCTCTCTCTCTCTCTCTCTCTCTCTCTCTCTCTCTCTCTCTCTCTCTCTCTCTCTCTCTCTCTCTCTCTCTCTCTCTCTCTTTCCCCTCCCCCCTGTAGGTGCGTACCAGATCAGTCGTCAGATCAAGGCCCATGACGGCAGTGTGTTCACTCTGTGTCAGATGAGGAATGGGACCCTGCTGACCGGAGGGGGCAAGGACCACAAGATCATCCTGTGGGACCACGACCTCAACCAAGAGAGGGACATAGAGGTGCAGTCACAGCCATACAGAATACAACGCAGACACGTCTACACCAATGCACCATGGTTTATGCACAAACATATAAATATACATGTTCAATATGATGATAAACCTATCATCTGTTTGGGAGGTATTTTTCTGTACAACTCAATGTATCTGTTCCACTGCAGGTCCCTGATCAATATGGAACCATTCGTGCTGTGGCTGAGGGCAAGGGCGAGCAGCTTTTGGTGGGCACTTCACGTAACTTCATCCTGAGAGGGACGTTTAATGACGGCTTCCAGGTGGAAGTGCAGGTGAGAGAAGTTTATATTTCTCTCTCCTTTGTCTGTCTCTCTCTCTCTCTCTCTCTCTCTCTCTCTCTCTCTCTCTCTCTCTCTCTCTCTCTCTCTCTCTCTCCCCTCTCTCTCTCTCTCCCTCTCTCTCGCACTGCTGAATAGCTGACTGCCAGCACTACATATCCAGGCTGTGAGAGCTAAAGCCATCTGAGGACTGCAGGGCCCTGCTATGGAAGCTCTGTTGTAGGGATGCCAGTGTCAGCCTCCTCACTAGCTGCTTTCCCAATCGTTTCTTCTCTGTGAGGGAGAGCAGAGCGATCGAGACGCTGCTATTTTCCAGAGAGCTGCGTTGTAAAACTTGGCATTCATTTTCCAGTGATTTGAACTCTGTATAAACAGGCTGGCAGAGGTACTTATCCCCGCTTTTAAGGGCGCCCAACTGAGCCCACCCCCTTCTCCCCTCGTCTGCCCCTCTTTGAGGCACAATACACCCGTGTGAAGGAGGTCATCAGAGCTTTTGGTGGTGTGTTTCCAATGGCTTAGTTGGTTGGAACATGGTACTTGCATAGCAAAACCAGAGTTGTGGATTTTGATTCTCACATACAGTAACATGGGCAACATACAGAATAGACAGAATATGTGTTAACTACTCGGCAAGTCATGTTAACTACTCAGTATGTAGTCACTTTGGACAAAATGACTACATATCCACATCACATCAGCATTATTTTCTAACCTCTGACCTATCACCCCAGGGTCACACAGACGAGCTGTGGGGGCTGGCCTCTCACCCCTTCAAGGACCTGTTCCTCACCTGTGCCCAGGACAGGCAGGTGTGCCTGTGGAACTCTGTGGACCACTGCCTGGAATGGACCAGGCTGCTGGATGTAAGAACTAATAACTCCCTTTCGGAACTATTCTATACTGCAGATTAAGAATACATGCTCATTCACTGCCCTTTTAGATTTTATTCACAGACGTAATTGAAATGTTGATGCAAGTTTTCCATTGAGATCAAGGCATGCAAACACATCTCAAGTTAGGATTCAGGCCTTACACAAAATACTTGTATGTTTGAATTGCATCTCTCCCTTCCCTCTTGCTGTTTATTTCTCTCAGGAGCATGGCCACTGTGCAGACTTCCACCCCAGTGGTGCTGTTGTGGCCATCGGTACTCACTCAGGAAAGTAAGTTCAGCTTAACCCTATCTCTAACTCTGAAGCGCAGCAGTGGCTATTAATCCCATCTCTTATCGCTTACGCCTGTATGGGAATAGTCCATTCTTATAAATCCTCTGTGATGTTCTCTTCCCTCCCCCTGTGTCCCAGGTGGTACGCTCTGGATGCAGAGACCAGAGACCTGGTGGCCATTCATACAGACGGCAACGAGCAGCTGTCAGTCATGCGCTTCTCTGTAGGTGGGTGAAGCTGGTCTTACATCCTATCCTAACCGTAGACTTGGATTTGATGGAAGAATTGTTAAACCAATACACGGTTAGGGAGGATAATAAAACATGGTGGATAATTTACCCACAATCCTGTTCCATCCCTCCCCAGATGGCACCCTGCTGGCAGTGGGATCACATGACAACTTCATTTACCTCTACACTGTGTCGGAGAAAGGCCGCAAGTACACCAGATACGGGAAGTGCATTGTGAGTACATCATCATTTGTTTGTGTGTGTTTGGAGTGATTAGTGTGTGTGGGGCCCTAGGGAGTTCTGTCTCCCTGCAGCTGGAGAGATGGATAGGATCAGTGCTTTCACAGTATGGTAATCACAGGAGAAGCAACAGGTCAGAGTCAGAGAGAGTCAGAAAGAGTCAGAGAGAGAGAGAGAGTCAAGAGTCCGGATGGGGATTGTTATGTAACTGCCAAAATAATGGAAACACTTGAGTAAATGAGGGATACAAAGTATATTGAAAACAGGTGCTTCCACACAGGTGTGGTTCCTGAGTTAATTAAGCAATTAACATCCCATCATGCTTAGGGTCATGCCATTATTTTAGCTACCACGGCAATGCCCCCATAGGATGACAATCCCCCCCCCCCATCCACAGGGCACGAGTGTTCACTGAGTGGTTTGTTGAGCATGAAAACGATGTAAACCATATGCCATGACCGTCTCTGTCACCAGATCTCAACCCAATTAAACACTTATGGGAGATTCTGTAGTGGCGCCTGAGACACAAATCAACAAAACACAAAATGATAGAATTTCTCATGGAAGAATGGTGTCTCATCCCTCCAATAGAGTTCCAGACAGTTGTAGAATGTATGCCAAGGTGCATTGACGCTTTTCTGGCTCGTATTGGCCCAACACCCTATTAAGACGCTTTATGTTGGTGTTTCCTTTATTTTGGCAGTTACCTGTAGATATGTACAGTGAGGGGAAAAAAGTATTTGATTCCCTGCTGGTTTTGTACATTTGCCCACTGACAAAGAAATGATCAGTCTATAATTTTAATGGTAGGTTTATTTGAACAGTGAGAGACAGAATAACAACAAAAAGATCCTGCGAGAGGCAGCTGGGACCATAGTCACCAAGAAAACAATTGGTAACACACTACGCCGTGAATGACTGAAATCCTGCAGAGCCCGCAAGGTCCCCCTGCTCAAGAAAGCACATATACAGGCCCATCTGAAGTTTGCCAATGAACATCTGAATGATTCAGAGGAGAACTGGGTGAAAGTGTTGTGGTCAGATGGGACCAAAATCGAGCTCTTTGGCATCAACTCAACTCACCGTGTTTGGAGGAGGAGAAATGCTGCCTATGACCCCAAGAACACCATCCCCACCATCAAACATGGAGGTGGAAACATTATGCTTTGGGGGTGTTTTTCTGCTAAGGGGCCAGGACAACTTCACCGCATCAAAGGGACGATGGACGGGGCCATGTACCGTCAAATCTTGGGTGAGAACCTCCTTCCCTCAGCCAGGGCATTGAAAATGGGTCATGGATGGGTATTCCAGCATGACAATGACCCAAAACACACGGCCAAGGCAACAAAGGAGTGGCTCAAGAAGGAGCACATTAAGGTCCTGGAGTGGCCTAGCCAGTCTCCAGACCTTAATCCCATAGAAAATCTGTGGAGGGAGCTGAAGGTTTGAGTTGCCAAACGCCAGGCTCGAAACCTTAATGACTTGGAGAAGATCTGCAAAGAGGAGTGGGACAAAATCCCTCCTGAGATGTGTGCAAACCTGGTGGCCAACTACAAGAAATGTCTGACCTCTGTGATTGCCAAAAAGGGTTTTGCCACCAAGTACTAAGTCATGTTTTGCAGAGGGTTCAAATACTTATTTCCCTCATTAAAATGCAAATCAATTTATAGCATTTTTGACATGCGTTTTTCTGGATTTTTTTGTTGTTATTCTGTCTCTCACTGTTCAAATAAACCTACCATTAAAATTATAGACTGATCATTTCTTTGTCAGTGGGCAAACGTACAAAATCAGCAGGGGATCAAATACTTTTTTCCCTTACTGTATAGTGATGGATATAAATCCAGCAGGGTAGAGGTGAAGGTATACAGAGCATGACCAGTACACTAGGTTGTGGTCTGGACCCCACAGGGCCAGTGTGAATCACTCCACTGTTTTAAACCTTCTCTGGCCTCCGCTTGGCTGCTGCTCAGTCTGCGGTCTCTCTCTCTTTCTCTTTCTCTTTTATATCCCGTTCTTACTCTCTCACTCTATATGTATGTCGCTCTGTTTCGCACTCATCGGTCCTGCCTCTCTCTCTCTCTTTCTCCCTTGTTTCACTCTTCTCCCTCTTGTTCATGTAGTCTCTCTTTTCATCGCACCCGTTGTCTTTTTTCTCTCTCTCTCTTCCCTCCATCCCTGTGGGTTCATGGTCATCTGTGTGATGGATGCCAATGGTCAGGACCATACTGCTCAGGTTGTGGTCACGGTCATTGCTTCTGCTGCTTGACCACTAGGGTCTTGGTCCAAGGTTAACCCCCCAGGCAACCTACCGTACATAGCCTTGCAGCCACAGCAGTGCTTTGTGTTGGGTAGTTTAATACCTGATCACAGACTAGGTGCATTGCAGTCACGTTTTAGATTGCTGAAAAATAAGCTTGGGATTGCATGAGAGAGTATTAAAGCAATGTTCTCATTTGACGTGTTGGTAATGTTAAAAGACCCAGTGCTCCAGAGGGAAGAAAGACATTGTGGGAAGGTTGGTTTGAGGTTTTATAGGCGTTGGCAGACGACTGGGCCCCTGTCTGTGAGCACAGCTCCACTGCAAAGCAGCGAGACACACTGAGTGTACAAAACATTAAGAACACCTTCCTAATATTTTTGCCTTCAAAACAGCCTCAATTCATCGGGCATGGACTCTACAAGGTGTCAAAAACGTTCCACAAGGATACTGTTTACTCCAATGCTTCTCACAGTTGTGTCAAGTTGGCTGGATGCCCTTTGGGTGGTGGACCATTCTTGATACACACGGCAAATTGTTGAGCGTGAAAAACCCTAATAAAAAACATGAGCTGCCACACACCCAGAGAAAATTATTTAGTGTAGAGGTGCTGAATAATGGTGAATAAAACTGTAAGCTATAAAAACAAAGAGAGTCGCACACTCCATATGTATATCCTCCCAGTAATTTTTTGGCTAAAAAAACACCAACGTTGTGACATCACTGTGCCTTCTTCAGGGGCGTGAAAAACTCAGCAGCGTTGCAGTTCTTGACACAAACCGGTGCGCCTGGTACCTACTACCATACCCCGTTCAAAGGCACTTAAATATTTTGCCTTGCCCATTCACCCTCTGAATGGCACACATACACATTTACATTTACATTTTACATTACATTTACGTCATTTAGCAGACGCTCTTATCCAGAGCGACTTACAAATTGGTGCATTCACCCTATAGCCAGTGGGATAACCACTTTACAATATTTTTTTTCTTTTTTTATATAATTTATTTATTTATTTATTTTTCGTATTTATTTATTTTTAGGGGGGGGGGGGGGGGGGGGGTAGAAGGATTACTTTATCCTATCCCAGGTATTCCTTAAAGAGGTGGGGTTTCAAATGTCTCCGGAAGGTGGTGAGTGACTCCGCTGTCCTGGCGTCGTGAGGGAGCTTGTTCCACCATTGGGGTGCCAGAGCAGCGAACAGTTTTGACTGGGCTGAGCGGGAACTATGCTTCCGCAGAGGAAGGGGAGCCAGCAGGCCAGAGGTGGATGAACGCAATGCCCTCGTTTGGGTGTAGGGACTGATCAGAGCCTGAAGGTACGGAGGTGCCGTTCCCCTCACAGCTCCATAGGCAAGCACCATGGTCTTGTAACAGATGCGAGCTTCAACTGGAAGCCAGTGGGGTGTGCGGAGGAGCGGGGTGACGTGAGAGAACTTGGGAAGGTTGAACACCAGACGGGCAGCGGCATTCTGGATGAGTTGTAGGGGTTTAATGGCACAGGCAGGGAGCCCAGCCAACAGCGAGTTGCAGTAATCCAGACGGGAGATGACAAGTGCCTGGATTAGGACCTGTGCCGCTTCCTGTGTAAGGCAGGGTCGTACTCTCCGAATGTTGTAGAGCATGAACCTGCAGGATCGGGTCACCGCCTTGATGTTAGCGGAGAACGACAGGGTGTTGTCCAGGGTCACGCCAAGGCTCTTCGCACTCTGGGAGGAGGACACAACGGAGTTGTCAACCGTGATGGCGAGATCATGGAACGGGCAGTCCTTCCCCGGGAGGAAGAGCAGCTCCGTCTTGCCAAGGTTCAGCTTGAGGTGGTGATCCGTCATCCATACTGATATGTCTGCCAGACATGCAGAGATGCGATTCGCCACCTGGTTATCAGAAGGGGGAAAGGAGAAGATTAGTTGTGTATCGTCAGCGTAGCAATGATAGGAGAGGCCATGTGAGGATATGACAGAGACAAGTGACTTGGTGTATAGCGAGAATAGGAGAGGGCCTAGAACTGAGCCCTGGGGGACACCAGTGGTGAGAGCACGTGGTGCGGAGACAGCTTCTCGCCACGCCACTTGGTAGGAGCGACCGGTCAGGTAGGACGCAATCCAAGAGTGAGCCGCGCCGGAGATGCCCAGCTCGGAGAAGGTGGAGAGGAGGATCTGATGGTTCACAGTATCAAAGGCAGCAGACAGGTCTAGAAGGACAAGAGCAGAGGAGAGAGAGTTAGCTTTAGCAGTGCGGAGAGCCTCCGTGACACAGAGAAGAGCAGTCTCAGTTGAATGACCAGTCCTGAAACCTGACTGGTTTGGGTCAAGAAGGTCATTCTGAGAGAGATAGCAAGAGAGTTGGCTAAAGACGGCACGCTCAATAGTTTTGGAAAGAAAAGAAAGAAGGGATACTGGTCTGTAGTTGTTGACATCAGAGGGATCAAGTGTTGGTTTTTTGAGAAGGGGTGCAACTCTCGCTCTCTTGAAGACGGAAGGGACATAGCCAGCGGTCAAGGATGAGTTGATCAGCGAGGTGAGGTAGGGGAGAAGGTCACCGGAGATGGTCTGGAGAAGAGAGGAGGGGATGGGGTCAAGCGGGCACGTTGTTGGGCGGCCTGCAGTCACAAGTCGCGAGATTTTATCTGGAGAGAGAGGGGAGAAAGAAGTCAAAGCATAGGGTAGGGCAGTGTGAGCAGGACCAGCAGTGTCATTAGACTTAACAAACGAGGATCGGATGTCGTCAACCTTCTTTTCAAAGTGGTTGACGAAGTCATCCACAGAGAGGGAGGAGGATTCAGCAGAGAGGAGAATGTGGCAAAGAGCTTCCTAGGGTTAGAGGCAGATGCTTGGAATTTAGAGTGGTAGAAAGTGGCCTTAGCAGCAGAAACAGATGAAGAGAATGTAGAGAGGAGGGAGTGAAAAGATGCCAGGTCCGCAGGGAGTCTAGTTTTCTTCCATTTCCGCTCAGCTGCCCGGAGCTCTGTTCTGTGAGCTCGCAATGAGTCATCAAGCCACGGAGCTGGAGGGGAGGACCGAGCCGGCCGGGAGGATAGGGGACACAGAGAGTCAAAGGATGCAGAAAGGGAGGAGAGGAGGGTTGAGGAGGCAGAATCAGGAGATTGGAGGGAGAAGGATTGAGCAGAGGGAAGAGATGATAGGATGGAAGAGGAGAGAGTAGTGGGAGAGAGATTGACGGTTGCGGTGGTGCATTACCATCTGTGTAGGGGCAGAGTGAGTAGTGTTGGAGGAGAGCGAGAGAGAAAAGGATACAAAGTAGTGGTCGGAGACATGGAGGGGAGTTGCAGTGAGATTAGTAGAAGAGCAGCATCTAGTAAAGATGAGGTCAAGCGTATTGCCTGCCTTGTGAGTAGGGGGGGACGGTGAGAGGGTGAGGTCAAAAGAGGAGAGGAGTGGAAAGAAGGAGGCAGAGAGAAATGAGTCAAATGTAGACGTAGGGAGGTTGAAATCCCCCAAAACTGTGAGGGGTGAGCCATCCTCAGGAAAGGAACTTATCAAGGCGTCAAGCTCATTGATGAACTCTCCAAGGGAACCTGGAGGGTGATAGATGACAAGGATATTAAGCTTAAATGGGCTAGTGACTGTGACAGCATGGAATTCAAATGAGGAGATAGACAGATGGGTTAGGGGAAAAATTGAGAATGTCCACTTGGGAGAGATGAGGATTCCTGTGCCACCACCCCTCTGACCAGATGCTCTCGGGGTATGCGAGAACACATGGTCAGACGAGGAGAGAGCAGTAGGAGTAGCAGTGTTTTCAGTGGTAATCCATGTTTCCGTCAGCGCCAGGAAGTCGAGGGACTGGAGGGTAGCATAGGCTGGGATGAAGTCAGCCTTGTTGGCAGCAGAACGGCAGTTCCAGAGGCTGCCTGAGACCTGGAACTCCAGGTGTGTGGTGCGTGCAGGGACCACCAGGTTAGAGAGGCAGCAGCCACGCGGTGTGAGGCGTTTGTGTAGCCTGTGCGGAGAGGAGAGAACAGGGATAGGCAGAGGCATAGTTGACAGGCTGTAGCAAATGGCTACAATAATGCAGAGGAGATCGGAATGAAATGAACTAAACATCTGGGAAAGGAGAGAGCAGGGCCTCCCTCACCACAACTCCCAAATATAACTCTCCCAACTTCCACCTCAGAAACTATGATTGTTTCACTGAAACACCCGAATAAAACTCTCCCAACTTCCACTTTAGAAATTAGAATAGTTGCAAACTACAGCGGTTCAATGTTTCAAGGAGTAGACTCAACTTACTTTATTCAGCTAGCTAACTATGACGCCATAGCTAACTAGCATGCTAGCATCCAATAACACACGGTTTAGCACCAATACTTGGTTACAACAAACTACCAATAGTGTGTTAACACACTAAACAGATAATTCGTGTCCGTGTCTAGTTCCTTTCATAACGCAGCAATAATTAAACGTTGGCTAGCTAGCACAAAGATATAGTACTGCTAGCTGGTAGTGTTGGCTAGCTAGCAATGGCTGCTGTGTTGACTTTGTTTGAAAAACGGCGTCGCTGCGAACGAATGTAGCTGGCTAAAATTAAATTGTATTTAGTTGCTATAGTACTGCTAGCTGGTAGCGTTGGCTAGCTAGCAATGGCTGCGGTGATGACTTTGTTTGAAAAACGGCGTCGCTGCGAACGAATGTAGCTGGCTAAAAGGATATTGTATTTAGTTACTACAGTACTGCTAGCTAGTAGCTGGTAGTGTTGGCTAGCTAGCAATGGCTGCGGTGTTGACTTTGTTTGAAAAACGGCGTCACTGCGAACGAATGTAGCTGGCTAGCTAACCTCGATAGTTACTCTATACTACACCTTTATCTTTGATACAAATACAACTATGTAGCTAGCCAACATTACACTAATCAAATCGTTCCATTGTAATGTGTCATATTACCTGCGGAGCGAAGTACAGCATGACTACTCACCTGTCTCAAGGCTTAAAAATCTTTATTTAATCTGTCTCCCCGCTTTCATCTACACTGATTTGAAGTGGATTTAACAAGTGACATCAATAAGGGATCAAAGCTTTCACCTGGATTCACATGGTCAGTCCTAATGTTTTGTACACTCAGTGTATAACTATGTTATTTATTGGAATTTTTAGGGACACACAAATATGGATGTCCTGTTGTTCATAGAAAGAACTACAGGGTTGTGCGTATAAATAGGGAAATGTATAAACAGAGAAATACATCAACTTTGTGTGTGTGCGCGTTTGTGCGTGCGTGTGTTTCATTCAGTATGGGATTCAGATTTGTATGTGTTTGCGTGAGAAAGTGAGGTCAGCAGCTGCGGAGTGTCTAGCTTGGCAGGATGTCAATGACATTCCTGTGTGTAAAAGTTTGTGTGTTTGCATGTATGTGTATGATTGCATGTGTGTATGGGTCTTTGTGTTGGAGGGAAGCCTGCAGACTTGAAGGAAATCAAACAGTGCCAAGATAGGCAAACAGAGATTCCCTCCCTGACCCTGAGTGAGGGGGAGGACAGACAGACATGCACACACACACACACACACACACACACACACACACACACACACACACACACACACACACACACACACACACACACACACACACACAGTGTCTCCTCCTATGGGCTGAGGTGGAAGGTGGAGTTCGCTCCCTAGATAGTGAACTTTTATAAAGGCAAAAATCTCACATGAAATTATGTGCAAAACTAAGTTAGCTGTACTATACATGCTGTACATGTCCCTAGCTCCATTAAAAGACCATTAACTACGGCCTCCCGAGTGGCGCAGTGGTCTAAGGCACTGCATCACAGTGCTTGAGGTGTCACTACAGACCTGGGTTCGATCCCAAGCTGTGTCACAACGGGCCGTGACCGGGAGTCCCTTAGGGCGGCGCACAATTGGCTCAGCGTTGTCCGGTTAGGGGAAGGTTTGGCCGGGGGGGCTTTACTTGGCTTATCGTGCTCTAGCGACTCCTTGTGGCGGGCCAGGCGCCTGCAGGCTGACTTCGGTCGTTGAACAGTGTTTCCTCCGACACATTGGTGCGGCTGGCTTCCGGGTTAAGCGGGCGGGTGTTAAGAAGTGTGGTTAAGCGTGTCATGTTTCTGAGGACGCATGACTCGACCTTCGCCTCTCCCGAGCTTGTTGGGGAGTTGCAGCGATGAGACAAGGTCGTAATTGGATCACAATTGGATATTACGAAATTGGGGGGAAAATACCCCCCCCCCAAAAAAAATAATAATAAAAAAATAATATATATATATATATATATATATACCATTAACTGTTTCAGCTCTCTAAATCATTTACCAAGCCTTCTCATTCTATGTGGTTAACAGGGACATTCCAGCTACATCACACATCTTGACTGGTCCCCTGACAACAAGTTCATCATGTCCAACTCAGGAGACTACGAGATCCTCTACTGTGAGTAAACACACCTACGAATGATTGTCATGCTTAAGTGAGACTACAGCAACAGCTTAATTGATTTAACCTCATGCTATGTTACTGATCCATGAAGCAATATTTAGCAATCAGAGTATGTTTTTATTAACTTTTTTAAGTAATTGTGCTAAACCAACTTACAGTATAGCTCATGAAAGTCATACCTTTTGCATTACACTTCTATTGTGAAGTATCCCCTTAAGCTATGCCCTGACTTGGTTCTATCCTCTTTGCAGGGGACATTCCAAACGGCTGCAAGTACATCCGTAACCGCTCTGAGTGCAAGGACATTGACTGGGCCACCTACACCTGTGTGCTGGGTTACCATGTCTTCGGTGAGTACCTGGGTTATATATAGGGATATGGTGGGATTGGTTTTGCTTTTCCTGTTGGCGTGATTCATCCTAAAACACTTTGGCACTGTTCTTGGCTGTGCTATGCTGGATCTGTTTGTGTGTTTCTGTGCGTTTTATTTTTACTGATGTGGGTGTATAAACTTCTATGGGTGTGTGGCTGCAATTTATGTTTCTATGAGTCCTATTACTAAACAGAGAGTGTGGTTTGGGAGTTTGCACATCAGCAACTTATCACACGCACTCTTACAGACGTTCTGCCTTTTGCCCCTTGTTTTTCTCCCCTCCTTCGTTCATCCTCTCTCTCTCTTTCTCTACTCGCTTTCTTATTCAGTTTTTTAGATGTCATACACAAGTTTGTAACAGTGAAAGGAAATCAAGAGCTCTAATTTGAATAACAGCAATTTAATGTCCTTCCATTCCAACTCTCCGCTACCAGAATTGTCCCTGCTGTGCTTTCACTACTGGTTTTGTCCCACTGCAGTATGTTGTGTTATGTGGTATCTCTCTCTCTTTCTCTATTCTCAATATCTGTCTCTCAATCTTTCTTTATTTCTCTCTCCCTCTTTATTTTTTTGTCTCTCTGTCCATCTCTTTCTTTCTCTGTGTCTCTTTCTCTCTCTCTCTCTCTCTCTTTTTCACTAAGCCCCCCCCCCACTCCACATCAGCCCCCCACTCCACATATTTCAGCTCTTTATGAAAATAGTTAACTCTTGACTTTTAGAGTTCTCAGCCAGTAGATTGTCTGAGGCTGCAACCAGGGGCGTAATGATCAGACCCAAAAATGTAAGTAGGCAACAAGCCTTTTTGTAATCTGATAGCCAGGGGTTAATTGAATTGGGAATTGAGAGGTGGGGAGCCCTCCTTTTTGCTGACCATTCGAAGCCAAAAGCTGTTTTATTGCTATTAAAATATAGGTTGTGATAGCTGAAGGCCTAATCGTTATTTTCATTCATTCGACCAGTAGGCTAGTGCAATTTTGGTTTTAAGTAGGCCTATTGGTATGAAAATATTTAGAGCATTTTCCCCAAAATACATGTCCTGTTCATGGCTTCAAAGCCAATAACAATTGTAGGCAATAACAAATGTCCATTGTAATGCAGTGAGAGAATGATAATTGAGATAATGCAAATAATGAATGATTACTTTGTTGGGCAAACTTTTTTTAGCTTCTTGCTGTAGGCCTACTTCATCAATCTCTGCCTGCATCCCTAATCCCTACCCGTAGACTACCTGCCTCTGCTATAATATTCTAACAGATCAATCTTGCCAAACATCATAAAATATTGCTAAGTTATTTAGCTATAGTGTGGATGAAGGGCTGTTTTTTTATATAATGAGCAACCAGATAGTGCAACTGCTACGTAGGCAACACAATAATCAGACCGAGACAAGCTGGCTCAGGGAAGAATTTGCGCAAGCTGCCTTGTAGTTGGTTACTATGTTGCAATATCTATATTCTCGGAGCCGCGTTGTTGATACAAAATGTTTCAATAGTCTACGAGCCGCCTCATTCGTTGATGCAATGTTTCAATATTCTCAGAGCCACCTTGTTGATATAATGCTTCAATATTTGCAGAATTTTTCCCTTCCCTGGCGAATAATGCAGACAGGCAAATGCAAAAATTAGCTGGGCTCACACATTATGAGGAACATCTCTGAATGCATCGCAACGAGACAATGACACTGTCATAATACACTGTATGCGCCATTCCACTAGGGTGGCTTCATATAGCCTATAGTAGGGGGTCGGGAACCTTTTTCATGTGGAGTGACGATTTACAATTGATCCAGTGGAGGCTCCTCAGAGGAGGAAGGGGAAGACCATCCTACTCAATGAATTTCATAAAAATAGTGAAACATTACAAAAGTTTTCCTTTTTAGATAAAACTATACTAGATATATTCACATCACCAAATAATTGATTAAAACATACTGTTTTGCAATGAAGGTCTACAGTTGCCTCAGCAGCACTCTGTAGGGAAGCACCATGGTCTAGCCGGAGGACAGCTAGTTTCCGTCCTCCTCTGGGCACATTGACTTCAATACAAATCCTATGAGGCTTGTGGTTCTCACCCCCTTTCATAGACTTACACAATAATTATGACAACTTCCGGAGGACGTCCTCCAACCTATCAGAGCTCTTGCAGGATTAACTGACATGTTGTTCACCCAATCAAAGGATCAGACAATGAATCTAGCACTGAAAACATAAGCTACAGCTAGCTAGAACTGTAGTGAATAGAATGTGGTGAGTAGTTGACTCAAAGAGAGAAATACAATAGTTGAACAGTTTTGAACAAATTAATTTCTTCAAAAATGAAAGAGAAGAGGGAGAGAGAGCTAGCTATATATTAACTTTAACTTAAAGATGCACTATGTAGAAATCACTCCGCCATTGCCTTCTTGCTAAAATTCTAATAGTTCGCTTAATTTCAGTTTGTGACAGAACAAGCCAGTAGAGAATCATTGTACCATCTAAACCGCTGTGAAATATATTTTCCATAACCAAAAATATTGTATTTTCAGCTGTTTGAAGATGGTGTACAAAACCGAAAGTAAAAGATGCAAAAACAAAACATAAGAACGGGAAGCATAGAAATAGCGCAGATAGAATAGATTTACCTCTTCTTAGACTTGCACACATTATATCATATATTTATATGTGAATTTGGTCGGATCACCCAAAAAGTTGCATATTGCAGCTAGCTAGCGAATGCAGCTAGCAAGTTTAGCCTACTCAAACACCCGGCTCAAACAGAGAGGGATGCTATGTTAGCTAGCTGGCTATGGCTATCCAACACGAGAACTCTTCCAAGTCAAGGTAAGCTTTTGGTTTTATTAATTTATTGCCACCGGGGCCTGCCGGTGTAACTTCTAAACTGCTTGCTGTACACTGTATTGCATGATTGTAGTGGGTTTACTAACGCATTAGTTCTAGTAGCTATGTTGACTATGATGTTAGCTAATATGGTGACAACAATGTAGGCCGTGTGTAGCGGTTATGATTTGAAGGTTTGGCTTGGAAAAGTTTTTATACAACGAGCAAAGAGATCATGCTGTTTGAATGTGGTTGTCTTTGGGGGTGATCGGGGTGTATTTATTCTGCTGATTCTGTTAAGACGTTTCTTAAATGGATGCAAACAGAACGAAGCGTGGATAAACATACCTGGATTTGTCCAATAGAAACTCGTTGGCAACTGTTTGGACTAATGATTACACCCTAGATCAGCTAGATGCAGGCAAGATTGTGCAAGGCGGTATTGAATGTGTCACTGTCTGTCAGCTTGATTACTCACATTTTTCTCTCGACCTTTGCACCTACATTGTAAACTTGAATTCGTAGGCTAGGTTGTAGCAACCTCGTGATGGGTATAGGGAAAAGTCGAGTAACATATAGTAGCTTAAACCTATCGATGTTACATTGAGCTGGGTGAATGGAATATGAATGACAGTCATACAATATGCTGTAATAGAAATAAGGCCATGCTCATGAAAAAAGAAATTGTCCTCCCCAGTCTTAAATGGCACCGACCGCCACTGAATTGATCCTACCATTTCTAAAGGTCTGCGTGCCAGTTATGAGCTTCATATAAGCATTGTAGGCTTCCTAACTGTACCCCAAAAATGTCTAACTGCCCACAAACAGAATAATTATAGCTGGCTACTAGACAGAGGCGCTATCCATTCAGCACCATGCCACGGAGCTCCACTATGCCTACCTGTACCGAGGCGCTGTCCATTCTTTGGTCAAGTTTTTTTGTCTTCATGCTTCCTTGTCGATTGTAATTCTAAGTAAGTCCTTTGATGTATGCCTTTTATTTCAATGCATGTGTAGGCTTTATCTGGCATAGTTTGCATTGGTGGTCAGCAGTTATGTGCTCCGGTTACTTTTACATTGATGTTGGCATTTGAAGTCGGCCTCGTTGTGACCTGATAGCGTGTATTATGCGTATTTTTCATGTTGCACTGTATGGGCAGTTCCACAAGTAAATTAGTCAATTTATGATGATAAATAAAATAAAATAAATGATGATGTTGAGTAGTGGTTGACATTGTATATGCCGTCCCACAGACTTTAAAACCGAATATTGCTGTGATAATTAATGTCTAGGGCATTTTTGTTATTTTGTTCTCCAAATAGCATTTTAGAGTTTTTAGTAAATTAGCTTAATTTACAAAAATAATAGGGGGTTGGTGGTTGGGGTATTTCTACTCACCCCACTTTTTTTTGTTTAAAAATAATCTTTATTGAAGTTTTTCCCATTTTATAAATAATTGACATAAATACAAATCAACTTTCACATCAATACATTTGAGTTTATAATTACATAAGAAATATTTACAGATTTAATAGTGTACATGGATTTTTGTTTGTTTGTCCATATCATTTCTTTTTAGTTCTGTTTTGATTTGTAAAACAAATAATAACAAAATGGTGTTTGAATAAAAAGGTTGTTTTCTAGTCTTATAGGCATCTTGCTATCCACATTTGACTGTTCACAATACAGTGCATAATGTCCACAATATTTATTTGCTAATTTAGATGCATATTATTGTCCTCCATACCATGTGTATATTGAAGACCCCTTTGAAAGACAGACTTGGGATTTATACATAGGCATACAGTGCCTTCAGAAAGTATTCACACCCCTTGACTTTCTCCACATTTAGTTGTGTTACAGCCTGAATTTAAAATGCATTAAATTGAGATTTTTTTGGTCACTGGCCTACACACAATACCCCATAATGTAAAAGTGGATTTACGTTTTTAGATTTAAAAAATAACAAATAATATTAAATAAAAAGCTGAAATGTCTTGAGTCAATAAGTATTCAACCCCTTTGTAATGGCAAGCCTAAATAAGTTCAGTAATAAATATTTGCATGGACTCATAAGTTGCATGGACTATAATAATAGTGTTTAGCATGACTTTTGAATTACTACCTCATCTCTGTACCCCACACATACACTACATGACCAAAATGTGGACACCTGCTGGTCAAACATCTCATTCCAAAATCATTGGCATTAATAAGGAGTTGGTTCCCCCTTTGCTGCTATAACAGCCTGCACTCATCTGGGAAAGCTTTCTACTAGATGTTGGAACATTGTTGCGGGGACTTGCTTCCATTCAGCCACAAAAGCATTAGTGAGGTCGGGCACTGATGTTGTGCGATTGGGCCTGGCTCGCAGTCGGCGTTCCAATTCATCCCAAAGGTGTTTGATGGGGTTCCACACCGATCTCGACAAACCATTTCTGTATGGATCTCACTTTGTGCACAGGGGCATTCCATGCTGAAACAGGAAATGGCCTTCCCAAAACTGTTGCCACAAAGTTGGAAGCACAGAATCGTCTAAGATGTCATTGTATGCTGTAGCGTTAAGATTTCCCTTCACTGGAACTAGCCCGAACCATGTAAAACAGCCCCAGAACATTATTGCTCCTCCACCAAACTTTACAGTTGGCACTATGCATTGGGGCAGGTAGCGTTCTCCTGGCATCCACCAAACCCAGATTCTTCCTACGGCCTGCCAGATGGTGAAGCGTGATTGATCACTCCAGAGAACACGTTTCCACTGCTCAAGAGTCCAATGGCGGAGAACTTTACACCACTCAAGCCGACGCTTGGCATTGCGCATGGTGATCTTAGGCTTTAACCCATTTCATGAAGCTCATGACTAATAGTTATTGTGCTGACGTTGTTTCCAGAAGCAGTTTGGAACTCGGTAGTGAGTGTTGCAACTGAGGACAGACGATTTTTACGCACTATGCGCTTCAGCACTCGCCGGTCTCGTTCTGTGAGCTTGTGTGGCCAACCACTTCGCGACTGAGCAGTTCTTGCTCCTAGACGTTTCCACTTCACAATAACAGCACTTACAGTTGACCGTGGCTGCTCTAGCAGGGCAGAAATTTGACGAACTGACTACTTGGAAAGGTGGCATCCTATAACGGTGCCACGTTGAAAGTCACTGAGCTCTTCAGTAAGGCCATTCTACTGCCAATGTTTGTCTAATGAGATTTCATGGCTGTGTGCTCGATTGTATACACCTGTCAGCAATGGAAGTGGCTGAAATAGCAGAATCCACTAATTTGAAGGGGTGTCCACATACTTTTGTATATATAGTGTACAATTATCTGTAAGGTCCTTCAGTTGAGCAGTGAATTTGAAACACAGATTCAACCACAAAGACCAGGGAGTTTTTCCAATGCCCCACAAAGAAGGGTACCTATTGGTAGATGGGTAAAAATTTTATAAAGCAGACATTGAATATCCCTTTGAGCATGGTGAAGTTATTAATTACACTTTGGATGGTGTATCAATACACCCAGTCACTGCAAAGATACAGGCGTCCTTCCTTACTCAGTTGCCGGAGAAGAAGGAATCTGCTCAGTGATTTCACCATGAGGCCAATGGTGACTATAAAACAGTTATGGAGATTAATGACTGTGCTAACCTAATTTACAGAGTGAAAAGAAAGAAGCCTGTACAAAATAAAACATATTCCAAAACATGCATCCTGTTTGCAATAAGGCACTAAAGTAAAACTGCAAAAAATGTGGCAAATAAATAAACTTTATGTCCTGAATACCAAGCGTTAAGTTTGGGGCAAATCCAACACATCACTGAGTACCACTCTTCATATTTTAAAGCAGGTGGTGGCTGCATATGGGTATGCTTGTCATCTGCAAGAACTAGGGAGTTTTTTAGGATAAAAAGAAACGGAATAGAGCTAAGCACAGATAAAATCCTAGAGGAAAACCTAGTTTAGTCTGCTTTCCAACAGACACTGGGAGAAAATGCACATTTCAGCAGGACAATAACCAAACCTAAAACACAAGGCCAAATATACACTGGAGTTGCTTACCAAGATGACATTGAATGTCCCTGAGTGGCCTACTTACAGTTTTGACTTAAATCGGCTTGAAAATCTATGGCAAGGCTGTTTAGCAATGTTCAACAAGCAGCTTGACAGTGCTTGAAGAATTCTTTAAAGAATATTGCCAAAAATGTTCAATCCAGGTGTGCAAAGCTCATAGAGACTTACAGTGCTTTGCAAAAGTATTCATCCTCCTTGGCGTTTTTCCTATTTTGTTGCGTTACACCCTGTAATTTAAATTGATTTTTATTTGGATTTCATACACAAAATAGTCCAAATTGGGTGAAGTGAAATTCAAAAAATTACTTGTTTCCAAAGAAATGTATAACGGAAAAGTAGTGCATGCATATGTATTCACCCCCTTTGCTATGAAGCCCCTAAATAAGATCTGGTGCAACCAATTACCTTCAGAAGTCACATAATTAGTTAGATTGCACACAGGTGGACTTTATTTAAGTGTCACATGATCTCAGTATATATACACCTGTTCTGAAAAGCCCCAGAGTCTGCAACCTCACTAAGCAAGGGGCACCACCAAGCAAGCGGCACAATGAAGACCAAGGAGCTCACCAAACAGGTCAGGGACAAAGTTGTGGAGAAGTACAAATCAGAAATAATATCAGAAACTTTGAACATCCCACAGAGCACCGTTAAATCCATTATAAAAAAATTGAAAGAATATGGCAGCACAACAAACCTGCCAAGAGAGGGCCGCCCACCAAAACTCACGGAGAGGCAAAGAGGGCATTAATCAGAGAGGCAACAAAGAGACCAAAGATAACCCTGAAGGAGCTGCAAAGCTCCACAGCGGAGATTGGAGTATCTGTCCATAGGACCACTTTAAGCCGTACACTCCACAGAGCTGGGCTTCACGGCAGAGTGGCAAGAAAAAAGCCATTGTTTAATGAAAAAAATAAGCAAACACATTTGGTGTTCGCCAAAAGGCATGTGGGAGAGTCCCCAAACATATGGAAGAAGGTACTCTGGTCAGATGAGACTTAAATGTAGCTTTTTGGCCATCAAGGAAAACGCTATGTCTGGCGCAAACCCAACACCTCTCATCACCCCGAGAACACCATCCCCACAGTGAAACATAGTGGTGGCAGCATCATGCTGTGGGGATGTTTTTCATTGGCAGGGACTTGGAAACTGGTCAGAATTGAAGGAATGATGAATGGCGCTAAATATAGGGAAATTCTTGAGGGAAACCTGTTTCAGTCTTCCAGAGATTTGAGACTGGGACGGAGGTCCACCTTCCAGCAGGACAATGGCCCTAAGCATACTGCTAAAGCAACACTCGAGTGGTTTAAGGGGAAACATTTACATGTCTTGGAATGGCCTAGTCAAAGCCCAGACCTCTATCCAATTGAGAATCTGTGTTATGACTTAAAGATTGCTGTACACCAGCGGAACCCATCCAACTTGAAGGAGCTGGAGCAGGTTTGCCTTGTAGAATGGGCAAAAATCTCAGTGGCTAGATGTGCCAAGCTTATAGAGACATTCCCCAAGAGACTTGCAGCTGTAATTGCTGCAAAAGGTGGCTCTACAAAGTATTGACTTTGGGGGGTGAATAGTTATGCACACTCAAGTCTTCAGTTTTTTTGTCTTATTTCTTGTTTATTTCACAATAAAAAATATTTTGCATCTTCAAAGTAGTATAAATCAAATGATACAAACCCCCCCAAAATAAGGCAACAAAATAGGAAAAAATGGGGGGGTGAATACTTTCGCAAGCCACTGTACCCAGAAAGACTCACAGCTGTAATCGCTGTCAAAGGCCATTCTAAAATGTATTGACTCAGGGGGTTGAATACTTCTCTAATCAAGATATATTAGTGTTTTATTTATTTACAAATGTTCACATTTTTCTTCCAATTTGACATTACAAAGTATTTTGTGTAGATCGTTGACAAAAAAATGACAATTACATCCACTTTAATCCTACTTTCTAACACAACAAAATGTGGAAAAAGTAAAGGGGTGTGAATACTTTCTGAAGACACTACATCAAACCCGATATTTCTCATAAAATACCATATTTCTTTAGTTCTGTAGTATTTCACTAAAAGGTGTTCAAAATTCTCTTCATCGTGACAATTAGGCATTGGACACAATTTACTTTTGACAAAACAAATCCACTTTACTACACTCTTTCTGACAGTTGTGCACATAGTGGATTTTTTAATACAGTGTTTCGTTTCAGCATGGGTCAGGTTCACCACCATATAATTAATCAATGTCACTTTATAAAAAGTTTTGTTCAAGAGACTGTTCCAGTTAATATTTAAATGTCTGAAATTGTCTGAGATACCTGATCATTAGGTTCTGTCACCGTATTTAAATCCCCACATATAATTACTGAATATCTCACACATAAATATCCCTTTAGTTTAATAAATAATAGCCTTTTCTTACTTGCAACAGATGCTGAGTATACTGTACATGTATCACTTATTTCTGTCCAATAATAATTAATTGATGTCTGCAAAGTCTGTTATTTAAGCTCTTTTAGATTATTTGCCTACTTTCATCTTTCTGCCTACTTTCTTTTTATCTTGGTTTTGGATTGGTAAGTGTGAACAGCGTTTCACTCCACCTGCTTTGTGTATTTCTACACACCCCACTTTGCCATACCTTAGGTTTAGCTGAACTGACGCCACTGGCTGTAACTGATAGGACACCTGAGAATAGAGTATTCATATGTGTGTGAAGTGATCACTTCTGTATGTGCATGTGCACATGTTTTTGTACACACCCGTGAGAGAGGGAAAGTAAGATAGGGAGAGTGTATTGTGAATGTTAGTGTGCATGGAGAGGTGAATGAAGTATGTGATGTCTCTCTTATAGTGTTGGTCTGCCCTCTGGTGGTATGCTTTTCACATGGCTTCATGTACATGCACATGTGGATAGCACACAAAGGTTCACTGCTTTGACTCCATATTTTATCTGTGATAGTGGGGCAAGAAAACCAATGTATATGTGTGTGTGTGTGTGTGTCTTCCAGGAGTGTGGCCTGAGGGCTCCGATGGCACAGACATCAACGCCCTGATCAGATCCCACAACAGGAAGGTGATTGCTCTGGCTGATGACTTCTGCAAAGTGCACCTCTTCCAGTACCCCTGCGCCAGACCCAAGGTAAGCCAGCCCTGGCCCCTAAGTACCAGCCCCTTACTAAACACTGCTCAGTGCTACCATCCCTGTACTAAGCGTATACTGTACAGTGCCTTTGGAAAGTATTCAGACCCCTTGACGTTTTCCACATTTTGTTACGTTACAGCCTTATTCTAAAATGGATTATATATTTATTTTTTACTCAGCAATCTACACACAATACCCCATAATGACAAAGTGAAAACAAGTTTTTAGAAATGTTTGCAAATGTATGAAAAATGTAAAATAGAAATACCTTATTTACATAAGTATTCAGACCCTTTGCTATGAGACTCGAAATTGAGCTCCGGTGCATCCTGTTTCCATTGATCATCCTTGAGATGTTTCTACAAATTGATTGGAGTCCACCTGTGGTAAATTCAATTGATTGGAAATGATTTGGAAAGGCTCACACCTGTCTATATAAGGTCCTACAGTTCGACAGTGCATGTCAGAGCAAAAACCAAGCCATGAGGTCAAAGGAATTGTCCGTACAGCTCCGAGACAGGATTGTGTCGAGGCACAGATCTGGGGAAGGGTACCAAAATTTTTTTGCAGCATTGAAGATCCCCAAGAACACAGTGGCCTCCATCACTCTTAAATGGAAGAAGTTTGGAACAACCAAGACTCTTCCTATCGGGGTAGAAGGGCCTTGGTCAGGGAGTTGACCAAGAACCCGATGGTCACTCTGACAGAGCTCCTCTGTGGAGAACCTTCCAGAAGGACAACCATCTCTGCAGAACTCCACCAATCAGGCCTTTATGGTAGAGTGGCCAGACGGAAGCCACTGCTCTGTAAAAGGCACATGACAGCCCTCTTGGAGTTTGCCAAAAGGCACCTAAAGACTCAGACCATGAAAAACAAGATACTCTGGTCTGATGAAACCAAGATTAAACTCTTTGCCTTGAATGCCAAGCGTCACATCTGGAGGAAACTTGGCACCATCCCTACGGTGAAGCATGGTGGTGGCAGCATCATGCTGTGGGGATGTTTTTCAGTGGCAGGGACTGGGAGACTAGTCAGGATTGAGGGAAAGATGAAGGAGCAAAGTACAAAGAGATACTTGATGAGAAACTGCTCCAGAGCGCTCAGGACCTCAGACTGGGGCAAAGGTTCACCTTCCAACAGAACAACGACCCTAAGCACACAGCCAAGACAATGCAGGAGTGGCTTCGGGACAAGAGTCTGAATGTCCTTGAGTGGCCCAGCCATAGCCCGGACTTGAACCCGATCGAACATCTCTGGAGAGACCTGAAAATAGCTGTGCAGCAACGCTCCCCATCCAACCTGACAGAGCTTGAGAGGATCTGCAGAGATGAATGGGAGAAACTCCCCAAATACAGGTGTGCGAAGCTCTTAGCGTCCTACCCAAGAAGACTCGAGGCTGTAATCGTTGCCAAAGGTGCTCCAACAAAGTACTGAGTAAAGTACTGAGTAAAGGGTCTGAATACTTATGTAAATATGATATTTCAGTTTATATAAATTAGCAAACATTTCTAAAAACCTGTTTTTGCTTTGTCATTATGGGGTATTATGTGTAGGTTGATGAGGGGAAAAAACAATTGAATCCATTTTAGAATAAGGCTGTAACATAACAAGATGGGGTCTGAGTACTTTCCGAAGGCTGTAACATACTGTAACATTAGCTTCAAATCATATAATGTGCTGACATGTGTCTCCTTCCTCCGCAGGCACCGAGCCACAAATATAGCGCCCACAGCAGTCACGTGACTAATGTGACCTTCATGTACAACGACAGTCACTTAGTGTCCACGGGTGGGAAGGATACCAGTGTCATGCAGTGGCGTCTGGTGGAGAAGACCCCCTCGTTGGTCCCCAGCGACTCTTCCCTCTCTCTGGGGGAGGGGCTCCTGCATAACTCCAACCCCCGCGCCCCTATCCCAACGGTGGCCCTGACGCCCACCCCCACCGAGCAGGCCGCGATGCCAACCCCAACTCCGCCCTCCGTCCTCGACCTGACCTCTGACCCCCCAGTGGTGCCCTGCGGGGGTGCGTCAATCGTCACGCCTCCCCCCACGCCCACCGAGCCCACGACCAACGGACGGCAGGAGAGCTCCCCTGAAACCCCTCCCCACTCAGAGCTGACCCCACCCCGCTCAGAGTCTACCCCGCCCCCCTCCCACAGCACGCTGAGCCCCAAGGACAGCCTGGACCCCAGCGATGACTTGGCCACGCCTAGCGACGAGGGCTGCCCTTTCACCTCACCCTCGTAAAAAGCGTCAGTTGTGATGCAGCCCAGCGCGCTCTCCTGCTCAGCACTCCTCCCTGGAGGCACCTCGATGTCACTGCGTCTCTCAGGAGGAGCGCAGCAGGGTTCAGTATCTGTTCAGGTTTCCTTAGTTTTTCTTTTGAGTTTATTTTCATGCTCTTCGTTTTGTTTTGTTTTGAAGTCTGTGTGTTAATTGGATAAGAATGGAGGGTGTAAGTGAGACAAGCAGGGATATTAGTGGCTGATGTTTTTTGTTTTTTTACGTTGTCACTCTGCGTTGTGAGAGTGTGAGGATAGAATGTTGTGGTTGTTCTGGGTCATACGGTTAAGTCAAGTCTGCAGATGAAAGCTCTGTGAGAGAGGGACACACAAGCACACAGAGACGTGCAAACACTAACACTAGCACTAATACACAAAGACACACAAAGTTACACTCCAACGTCACTCCTAGATCAGACAGACAGATGCAGGATCATTTACACAGTTCTAATATCACCGTAATGTTGCTATCGTAGATACTCATATAGTACTTGATACCAAGTATTAAACACAAGTATATTATGCTACAAGAGCCTAGTGCCTCTTCCCTGAGCCTAGCTAATGCCAGGCAGGTACCCCTGGCTAATGCTCACTCCCCAGTCCAACCCTTTGTCAACACTGATCATATGGTCTCTAGGCTATGTTGCCAAATAACTTGTACTAACCTAATCCTAGCTCAATAATGCAACAACCTGCAATAACACACCATAGCATACTGTGCGACCACACACAACCAGTTATACACATGCAGCTAATGCAACACACTCCATCACTCTGGACTTTCAAACAGGTGTGTGTGTGTGTGTGTGTGTGTGTGTGTGTGTGTGTGTGTGTGTGTGTGTGTGTGCGTGTGCGCCTGCAGACTGCTTCATGGCAATAAGCTGTTCTCTCTGGTAGAGTCCCTGCAGGAAACTCATCCATCCAGCCTCGCTGTAAAGGCAAAAAAGGACTCTGATGAATAATGGTCCATAGGATATCCTGTGGCCATGGACATTATGACCACACTGAACCACCAGCAACACCCTTACCCAGGTGACGCTCTCACCTGCTCGCCCTACGATAACGTGCTACCATTTTTAGTGTTTCTTTTTATTTCCATTTAGGATTGATACCTTTTAAAAGCTCATTCTGGGGACTGTTCCTTCTCTGCTCTACGGACTGAGATGTTTTCAAGAAAAAATAAAGAAGATTTTTTTTTTAAAGTCTTAAGTGTGTGCGAGCCGCCGTTTACACGTTTGTGTCATTCCGGAGGAGGGTGTGCCCAGCTTTCCCTGCCCCCCCCCCCCCCCCCCCCCCCAATCTGCAGAAACTCAGGACGGGATCACGCTCACAGGAATACACAGCCAATAGAGTCTCTTCTACACAATCTTCTCTTTATCCCCTCAGTGGGATTTCCACAGAGATAGCATAGGGGAGAGAGAGAAAGGCTCTTCTGTTTTTCAGCTGGAAGTGGAGGAGAGATAATGTTTTTGAAATGCCTGTCTATGACTAGGGAGAGAAAGTCCAAGGCTTTCTATGACAAGGAAGACTGAGGAAAGATAGAAGGGATATGTACTAATGACTAAGGCATATGTGTGGCAATGCACAGTAAAGGTTTAGCTAGTTATACAGGATTGAATGATGGAAGTATTTTTCCAGGTTTGTTATTATCAGAAGGAAGAGCAAGGACTGTGTAAAAAGGCATGTGGTGTAGATAAAGCATGTTTTATATCCTCTGTCAGAGAGCTGTGAGTGAGGGACTGTAAGTAAAGTGCATGCCAGTGATAGTGTGGTAAGGTTGGTAGGTGGCATTGACAGGGTTATAGTGATGAGGTAAAGACATTGGTAATCATAGTGAAAGACTGCATGAGGCCATGGTTGTATCAATGTTATACTATTGTTATTCTAACGTTGTCCTCAAAGATGTAGACTTCCAGCTGGTCCACAAAGAACCTCGTTCTCTTTTTATAATTTTCTGATTTTTGGATGTTTTTGCAAATCAACAGCTTGTGCAACTGGGAATGCTTTAATGTAGGTAAATGATGTCTGTAGTTTGTCCTGTAGTTTTTTTCCTGTGGTTCTGTAGTTGTAGTGAACATGGGATTTCCTTCCCGGAATGCTCTGCTTCTGAGTGCATAGAACATGAACACACTTTTTTTAACCCTGTACAATATCTCATGAGCTCAGCATGCGCCTCCTACAATGACAGGTGTCAATGTATAACTCATACCCTAGGACAGGGGTGTATAACTCATTCCATGGAGTGCCAAGTGCCGGCTGGTTTTTGTTTTTTCCTTTCAATTAAGACCTAGACAACCAGGTGAGGGGAGTTCCTTACGAGGAATCAGTGACCTTAATTCACTAATCAAGTACAAGGGAGGAGTGAAAACCCACACACTCTGCCCTCCGTGGAATGAGTTTGAAACATGCCGTAGGATATCTGGAGTCTCTCCAGAACGCTAAAACACCAGTTTCCAGGGGGCCATGTGGTCTTGCTAGATCTTCCCCTCCCATACTCATCCATTTTGTACATTCAGGTGTGGCTACTTTATGTATATAATGGTATGCCTGTGTGTATATATCTGGTCTCTTCATCTTGAGATATACAGGTAACTGCCAAAATAAATGAAACACCAGCATAAAGTGTCTTAATAGGTCATTGGGCCACCACAAGCCAGAACATCTTCAATGCACCTTGGCATAGATTCTACAAGTGTCTGGAACTCTATTGGAGGGATGCGACACCATTCTTCCACGAGAATTTCCATAATTTGGTGTTTTGTTGATGATGGTGTCAGAAAATGCTGTCTCAGGCGCCGCTCCAGAATCGCCCATAAATGTTCCATTGGGTTGCGATCTGGTGACTGAGACAGCCAAGGCATATGATTGACATTGCTTTCATGCTCATCAAACCATTCAGTGACCACTCGTGCCCTGTGGATGGGGGCATTGTCATCCTATGGGGGGCATAGCCATGGTAGTCAAAATAATGGCCTGCCCAGCATTTTTATACGTGACCCTAAGTATGATGTTATGTTAATTGCTTAACTAACTCAGGAAACACACCTGTGTGGAAGCACCTGCTTTCAATATACTTTGTATCCCTCATTTACTCACGTGTTTCCATTATTCTGGCAGCTATCTATAGATCCACTGAACCATTGTTCAGTGCTTTCTTTCACCACTTGGAGGCACACTCCAGCTTATCCACAGGCCAGGCTTGTACATACAGTACAGTGTGAAATAATGGCTCTTTGAGTCCTCATAAACCATGGTCCCAAATGGGCTCTTCTTCCCATGGCAGGTTATTATGGTGGGACAGTGAACTGGCTTTGAGAGTGCCTCCGTCCGCAGTCTTTCTGGGGGTGTCGGTCCTCTTGTTATTCCAGTGTATTCATGGCCACTCACCTCACCCCATGTAGGCTTGGAAGTGGTCTGCCAATCGGAGTCCTACAGCAGATATGTCCTTTGAATGTTCCTCTGACGAATTGCCTTGCCATAATGTCCGCATTGAGATGGGGGTGGGGGTGAGGTGGGTTTTGCCTATGTTGGTTAAGGGGAGGGAAATATTTTTTAAGTTAGGGAGGGTTAGTAAGGTGTGTGAGATATGGACACCAGGGCATCCTATGTACTGGGCCCTGACAAGGATCTGATATTTTTGATAGGTAGAGCGGTCCGTTATGTCCATTCAACCATCCATCTTTTGAAGGGAACTTTTTCTGAACGGCTTGTACAAAATCATGTTTTCAAGTTAGATGGGCTAGTATCCAAAACACACAAAGGAAAAGGGAAGGAGAGAAGTGAGTTTAAACACAAAGCTCCTTGACTGGTCTCAAACCTCATCCCTGTGAATGTATGTGTAAGTGTCCTGGGGAGGAAGGGAGATTGGTACACAGGGAGTTGTCTCCCCAACACTCCTCTGCAAAATGGCTGGCACACCCATGCCAACCATCCTAGGGAGCATTGAGTGGGCATATATGTGTGCCCACTCTGTGATTATCATGTCTTTGGGTTGGGATGACGGTGATACTGATGATGACAACGTTGAAATGATATGATGTTGGTAAGATATGACTCTGACAAAAAAGAAAAACAATTTCTCATGACAATGTTTGAGCCAATCTGTCTCTCATGCATTCCTGTCAATAGACAGAAAAATACTGAAGATTTAAAAAAAAAATGAAAATAAACATTTTAAAACAAAAAAGCTTTTGTTTGTGTATTTTCCCCCACTCAATTTCCACTGATCTGTGTTGATCTTGGTCTGAATGTTTTGTGTTATTAAAGGGGTAGCTACAGTAAATAATTCCAGTTTACTCATTTAATTGTGTCACTTGAGTCAAAACTGTTCGCTGCTCTGGCACCCCAATGGTGGAACAAGCTCCCTCACGACGCCAGGACAGCGGAGTCACTCACCACCTTCCGGAGACATTTGAAACCCCACCTCTTTAAGGAATACCTGGGATAGGATAAAGTAATCCTGCTACCCCCCCCTTACTCCAACCCCCCCCCCCCCCCCCCCCCCCCCCCCCCCAAAAAAAAAATATAAACTTGTAAAGTGGTTATCCCATAAGGTGAATGCACCTATTTGTAAGTCGCTCTGGATAAGAGCGTCTGCTAAATGACGTAAATGTAAACTTGTGTTTCTAGGAACAGTGAGTTATCATCTGAGTTTGACAAAGTTCAAGTTTAATCCTTCCTCAAACATCTCTCTGTTCCTGAGCCTGTTTGTCTGGTGTTCTGTATTGATCTGAACCCTATGATACCTATCCTTGTGTGTGTGTGTGTGTGTGTGTGTGTATCAGTGTGTTTGTCTATGTCTGTATAGTGAAGAGGTTATTCATCTCACTGTCTTCCCTAGTCGATTCTGGATGTATCTGTCTATAGTTTGGTCCGTACAGTGGACAGAGGTCTCTGGCCGTGGGATTAGACTGTGGGTAAACAGTGGACAGAGCAGAGGTCTCTGGCTGTGGTATTCAACTGTGT